ATCTATCTATCTATCTATCTATCTATCTATCTATCTATCTATCTATCAAACAATGTAAAAACTTAGTCAAATTTAGGAAATTCTGGAAAATCTTTCTTTTGATCTCACTCTAAGTTTGATACTGACATCAAAACCACCAGCTATCTGTCCAGAATTTTGGTTCTCCTCATAAGGAGGGAATTTATAATGTTTTGCAGCTTTCAAGTAAGAGTGGACAAGACCCACTGAGGCTCTGGAAACAACAACAACACCTCTGACATGGTTTTCAAGCTCTGTTGAAATGAGGGGATCCTGTTCGTGTGGCGACACCTGGTGGACACTTAAAGCATTGCATCATATTAGATGGATGAGCACTCTGCCTCCGCCCTCCTCTATTAGTTGATAACTGTCAGGTGTGGTAAGTCCAAAAGGGCACTCCTCCAACTTTTATGAAAAAGAAGTTTTATTTCAAATCATGTTTATTACAACAGATGTCGTTCACTCATGGATGAAATTAAACTACTGATAAGTACTGTGTAGTTAATTATACAACCTGAATTAAAGGTCACGGTTTAATGGCCTTTAACAGTGCATGAAGTTTCCCTGATGCCTTACGAGTTTCTACGCTTCTTTTTCAAAATGTCTTAATTATATTTTTGTTACAAACAAAGGTGATAAAATATGATTATTGGTTGATAACAAAATAAGTTCGTATTTGGAGCACATTTAGAAGCAGAGACCAGTAACACTGCATATTCACTGCTCAGAGCTCTACATTTACCGCCTGCCACTTCATTTTAATAACAAGCATCAAAGCTATTTGTACTATTCTATTGAATGAAGAGTTATGGTTATAATGAATTCTGACTGATCGTCCATCCATGAGGTTCACTGAGTGTGAGTTTCCTGGTTCTTCATCTCCTGCCATAACTTCTTCCTCAGCTCCAGCTCAATGTCAGTGACAGATGCCAGACCCCAGTTATTGATCACCTGAGGTCCTTTATGACCTGAAAATAGACCCAAAGAGAGGCGAGTAAGCCCCGTAAGACTTAAACAAACCATTTGGTTTTCACATGTCCATTTAGACAGAAGGTTTAACTGGCCGTGACTGACGGTGGTATGTTTTAAAACTTCTAACTACCATTAAGAAGAATAATTTAGTTTGCTGTAATGTCCTGAATCAGAGAGTTTAGCTCACCAACTTCACAATCTCAAACCAAGAACATTACAATAATTCGTCCCACCTGGCTGGATGAGACGCATCAGCCCCTCTTGTTTGTCCACCTTGTCCTTCCACGTCTTCGTCTTGTTAGCTGCTCGCCTGAGTTTCTTCGACGTCTCCTGTACACCAGAAAGAGAGAAAGAAAGAAATAAAGTCTTTTTTTCATATCCACAGGATATGAGACAACAGTGACTAATTCTGGGGCTGAAAAAGGGCTACAAAGCCCTCCCTTTGATTTACTAGTGACCTGTCCTCAGTGTCCACCACCACTCACCCAGTGACTGCTGGGATAGGTTCCCGCCCCCCCCCCTATTTTGTATAAGCAGGTATAGGAGATGGGTGGACGGAATTATTGAAACCATTTTTATCCATCTATGACTCATAGGTGAGTGTTGAAATAGTTTAACAAGCAAGCATAGTTACTTTAGTTGTTTTTTTTAAGTTGTGAAAGAACTGCCTGTGTTTAAAGGCTCAGGAGCGATGGATTGTTGGGTCTGGCTCCTTCAGGCAAAATACAATGGAATCAGGGGCGGTGCAGACCAGTGCAGATGAGGGTATGGGTCCTTATGTTTCACCAATTGTGGTCTGATTTTGTAGCCTGATTGGTATTAACCAATCATGCCAGAGCAAGTTTTAGTTGTTGGGTGAGGAACAAAGAATCAAGAAAATATAGAGGATTTAATGTGTTAAAAAATATTACATCAGCTGTTCAAATAGGCAGGAATGTGTGGGGTTGGATTAAATGCTAAGGGAAAATTCCAGCTGTCTTAAAATGATAGTTTCTGTAAACGTTTTGGGGTCTATGGATCGTTGTAAATCCCCACACATGTTTCCTGACCTCGTACTGCTCCACTGCCCCCTGCCGCTCCTTCTCCAGCCTCTCCAGCTGCAGCGTGGCAGCCTGTAGGTCTCTCTCCTTGGCCAGCCGCTCAGCCATCAGCTCCTGTTTCTCGGTCTCTGTCTGGAACAGCGCCTTCTGCTGCTGCTGGTGGATCTGCTCCAGCTCAGCCCTCTTTGCTGCTTCCTCCTCCAGCAGCCTGTCCAGAGGCACACAGAGGAGTTTGCAATCTGACAACCGGTGCATGAGAGCCCTGAGTTCTTCAAAAAGAAGGGATTGGTTATAGTTTGTTAGTCTGTTAAAACACACTTTTTATTTATGTACAGTTATATGAGTCTGTGTTGTCCCGTGGACTACCTGAGTGGGAAATGTTTTATTTTCATCAACCCATAGCCGACCATATCCGAGCATCCCAGTTAGGTTCGGTTCAGCTGGCTGAACAGTTGTACACACACATACTGAGGAAAGGCACCATTCAACATAACCTAACCACAACAGTATGGCAAATATCATCTCTCTGGTGGTGTCAGAGCTCAATACTGACAGCTTATGACAGAGGACAATTTTGTCCCTCATGTTTGTATGATCTCGGACGGGGCCAGTATCTGTTCCCATGTGTGCGTCTCTGTTGTTCTGAAACCTGGACTGCAGCTTTCGCATGGTCTCCTCGTCCTGCTTGGCCTGCCTCTCGTCTTCTAAGGCCTCCTCGAGCCGGCGGTACATGTCCTCCAGCTCTCGGACACGCTGCAGATACTGGTCCAGCTCACTGGACTTCTGAGCCATCTGCTCCTCCATCTGCTGGCGCACCTGAGCGAGATCCAGATCATCAATATTTGCACCTGCACCTGTATCCAGATTTCTGACTTCTTCTTACATGTTATTTGCCTTGAGAAAAGATTTTTTCCATTTTTTTAATTCAATAATTGAAGTTATAACTGATTTGTTCATCTCAAAGTGACTCAAAATCATAAGAAGTATTGTTTTTCTAGCCATCGTTGACCCCGAAAGGATCACAGAAGGAATGACTGAACTAGAAACTAAAAGGGACTTACGTTGAGTTTTTTTTGCACGTATGACCTGACTGTGTGTTGCTAATGTGTGACCACATTAGCAGGGAAGTGGCTGACACCAGTTACCATTTTTTCTCTCTCCATGTCCAGCCTGTAGCGATCCTGTAGGCTTGACTGAGTTTTCTGCCTCCTGAGCTCTTCTAGTGCTGCTTTGGCCGCCGCCTCTTCCATTTTCTGAGAAGCACAAAAGAGGAAAGAGCTGCTATTGGTCGGCTTGAATGGAGGCCACAATGAGGACAAACAAGACTTTGTAAAGAAACTTGGGTTTGGTTAAAGGGGAGTCTGTGGAGGCTTCAGGGGAATACTTTCAGCGTCCAGTTCTGGGTTTTACTTCACAGTATCCAAAAAGAGAATTTAGCAAAATTGTATCATATAACTTACTCATCTGAACGTGCATTTTGACATTTGAAAAAAGACACCTGGCAGGCTGAAAAGAGAAGTGAGAAGTGAACAATAATCTGTTGCAGCCCTGAAACATTTAGGCTGGTGTGCATTAGAGGCAGGTGTCTTCTGACTTATGAACTGTCATTTGCATAGAATGCCTTACTTCCCTTATTGCTGTGGGTGTTTCTGCTGAACTGTCTGTCACTCATAACCACAAAATCAGAAAATAAATTGCGGAAAAAAACTCTTCTACTGATAACTGTTTTGCACTCACACACACACACACACACACACACACTTCATATTTATCTTTTCAGAAACAGCTTAAAATGGCACAACAACTGATCTGTACAATGTCTGCTATGAGTTTATGGAAATCCACAGATCTACACTGTCTACTGTGCAGTTTACATTCCCCCATATAGTGTTTCTGTTCCGTTAGGCTGAGCAGTGAGAGCAGTTTCAGTTGAAGACACATTCAGCACGCACCATCTTCATGTCCTCCAGCTCCCTCTGTTTGTTCTCATTGGCCACCTGGAGAATCTTCATCCTCTCGGCCAGGTCCATCTCCTCCACCTGCTGCTTCTGCCGGAGCTCCCGGCGCCTCAGGCGGGCCTCGCGGTGAGGAGACGACAGCCCCAACCGCAGCATCTGGATGCACGTCTGGATAGCTGCCACAAAATGGAACGAGAAGGCAATCGCTAGCTGACACTCAATAACAGTGAGACTCCTAAAGAATGGGGGAATGGAAAGCTGCAGAGAATGTTGAATCCGTACCTTGAATCCATTCCTGCCTCTTCTTTTTGTCCGGCGCACTTATCTCAAAGCTTTTATCCGAGCACTTGATAATAAAAAGGCATTTCTTCCCATCTTTATCTAGCAGAGACTATAAGGGAAAAAATAGAGAACAGGGGGAAAAAGACGCTCCTTCAGGATTTAATTTGACTTGATATTAAAAAAGGGTGAGGCCGTCTGCATACCTCAACACAGCAGATTTGGTCCAGAACGATGTCTCCCCTCTGCTCTGTGAGATCCTCGCCCACATAGTAGGACAGCGATGTGGGCCGAAGGACAAACCAGCGCTCGGTCCAATTCTTCCTCTTGTGGCCCTTTTTTATCATGTAACCCTTCACGAGACAATGTGGATGTAAACATAAACTCCTTAGGAGGAGGTTTGGGGGAATGAACGTCTTCTCTAACCTGCTTCAGGATATCCAGAATGAGCTCTATGAAGACCTCGTTGATGCCCATGGACAGAGTTTGGCGGTCCACTACTTTGCTGAAGTAATTTGTTCCCACCAGTTCTATCAGCTCCCAGACGTTCAGGCAGCCCTTCCTGTGCTGCTGCAGCTTGTAATCCACAAACTTATCCTCGCTCCATCCGATCCCCATGGCCTCCGTCAGCTTTCGCAGGAAATACTCCACCTGATAGGATGATCAGAAACGAAGTTTTGAGTTCTCAAAACCGGGGGGTACACTGGTGACCAGTGTCTCCTCATTTATAACTCTTAAATAGTTATTTTAACTTCAAATGTGGGACTAACACAGTGAGACCAAAACCAAGTAAAGCCATATTCTTGGGCCTTCCATCAGTGATAACACTTCAATGACCTGGCTGTGTGTGAATCAACAAGACTGGAAAAACCTCTCATAAATTAAGTCCATTCACAATTTCTATTGATCACAGTTTGTTGGTTCACAGTCAGCCATGGCTTATTTCCACCACAGAGAGATTTATTCTAAAATGATAGGAAGAAATGTTACATAACCATTTCAGGGAAGTAAACCTAAATCTGAAAATGACAAGACCGAGCGATGTGGTGGCCTCGTAATGGACTAGCAAAATTTGGGGGAAGCCCTCAACCTCTTGACCAACTGCCGTTGGGATCGGCTCCTGCCCCCTCATGACCCTGAGCTGTTTTTCAATTTTTCAATTAAATTTTTAAATGTTCAATTTTTAAAAATATTTTCTTTACCTATCATAGTATTTTCTTTCAACTGTTCCCTGACCCTTTCATGCACGGGAAAGAATTAACAGAATACAGAATCTTCCTCACCTCTTCAAAGACGATGACTAATGGGTACTTGTCTTCTGACAGAAAGTTAAAAATGCACCAGACTTTGAAAGCGTCATTGTCCGAGATGAACAGACGCTGAGTGTAAAGATTCTTCTTGTAGCTCAGTGTCCAGCACATCCTGAAAAACTCTGTCAAGTCAAAGTCCTCCCTCACCTGTGAACAAAAATGCAGCATTCAGTGAGAGTCAAAGGGAATCCGCTCAGCAGCACCAGAGAGCTCTGTGTTTACAAATGCTAAGCAGGGGATTGCTGTTTGTCCCCTTTTAGAACCTCGAATCCGCAGGATGTGAGGTGCAAACATAAAGTCATTAAAGGCCTCATTTTAATTCAAGTCAGAGCCCACAACAGGATGGAGAGCAAAGAAGTCTCAGCTTGGATGCAATTTCCCAGCTTTCCCAGCTAAATAAAGTCTTTCTATTTATCTATCTATCTAAGTCTCTAAGTGCTAAAAGAGAAGCTCTGGCAGTTTATAAACCTGTGAGGGAGCCACTTTTATAAAAACCTTCACAGATGTTTTTCTATGACAGCTTCAAAACAACTTCAACAACTCCAATTGACATAAAACACACTTTTTCTTTGGTTATACTAGGATTTGTGACCCATTTCCTCTCTGAGAGGATTACACAATGTCGTGTGTCGTATGTTGGTGAGTTTCACTATTATTGCTTATTCTGTAATTGACTATCTTTAATTTCCCAGCAAAGACTGAGACACAGCATATACAGAAGTTTTGGTACTCTACAGTCCTCTCTTTTTTTTTAAGAGCATTGGCTTACTCTCTGTTTTATATTTGCAAGCATGTCTTTTGGAGGTCCAAACAACCCTGGGGAGAGGATTATTAAAACAGCATTTTTTAAAATTATTAATTGAATGCACATTTGTATTTAGGCCCTACATAATGTGGACAAGCATCAGGAAAATGTTCATCCTCTAAAACAGACTGACAGAGTGGGGTAATAACAGCATATCAGTGGAAATCCAACACCTAAAAACGCAAAAAAAAGCATTAAAGAAAAACCTATTATCCCAGTTTATCAGTGCATTGTCAGAAATTACATACCGGTAATCAGAAAAAAATATCACAATATACTTAGAAAGATTCATTTCAGTGTTTTTTTTACATTGGTGCGGTATTTCTTCGTGGAAATGAATGCTTGGTTTTTGCGTGAACAAAGCATCAAGGAAATTCCCAGAAGACAAGCTTTATCTGAAAGGGGCTTATTTTCTCAGAAAACTGAGCTAAATTACATCAAATCCTTTAAAAAATGTTATGAAAAGAGTTTTCTTGAATATGATTTGATTCAGTTTGAGTTAGAAATTGACATTGAAATTCAAGTTGATTTTAATGAATCTAGACAATTTTACTGTAATTTCACATTCAAATAATCCAAAACTGAAACTGAAATCTTCATTCAAATAACATCAATTATCACTCTTAACTTTAGCATGTCTTTCACACATAAATGATCACCATGATGGACTGAGACATAAAGTTATACAGTTTTTGGAGCCCACAGTTCCTGTTCAAATGCTACTTTTTCATATTTATTGCACAACTTTTTAAAAATGTCATTTTTAATGAAAGTCAGAGAACAGAGATCCCATTTTGTACAATTTTGTAAAATGTCAATTAACATTAGAGCAAATAAATGGAAAGACTTTCATAAACTCAGAATTTTATGACATTTCTTCTTCCATGTTCAGAAAATCTCAGCCTTTATTCTCAATGTTTGTCCAATATTGTCCTCCTAATTTTTACCAAGTCAGTTTGTTCCAAAACTGGTTTTATGAGTGGTAACAAGGGAAATAAATCATTGTGAAAAAAACAACAAAAATCCCCCACCAATTTCAAATATTACAACGATCTAAAGGAATCTCGACCAAAACTCTTCAACCTCACCTTGTCGAGAATATATCTGTTGAGGTAAGGCATGTAGCCCTCAGTGGAAAGAGGCCCCTTATTATCATCTTTGAAATGTTCCTCAAAGGAGACGGGGTCATGAGGAATCCTCATCACTGTGCATAGGTTGTAAGACAGCACCTAAACGTCCACAATGAGTCAACGGGACCACAAATAGAAGACACAACACATGAGCAACACAAAAAATATATAACAAACACAAGGTCAAGTTTTGGGTGGAGTGGGGTCCAGTCTGTGTGCTTTCAGAAAGAACGTGTTTGAAACACACACGCATCATCAGCCAAGCGGTAGTTCAGCTCATGACTGACATTTCTCTCTAAACTTTTTTCCCATGTGGTTAGCTTCAGCTGAGTTACTCAAATAACCAGCAGTCCAGATTAAATCTCATGAGAAAAAAGGGAAAGACGGCGCTCTGTTTATACACTGTTCTGTTTTGTGTTTGAGACTCATCTTAAGATGGTTTCGAATAATTTTCACATCATATAACAGCAAAGCAAAGAAAAGCTCACAGCAGTTTGTGAAATGCAAAGCTGTGGTATAAAACTCCAGTCCAAGTCTCATGGGAAGATACTCTAAAGCAAAAACACCAAATGCAGTCTTATCTTTTTCTATCACTGGTGCCAGTTTTCTTTATTGATAACCATCAGGCAACCAAGGGAGGCTTTTAACAATTATTTCTGTTGACCTAACTGAAATGACAGGAGACAAATATTTTCCTAAAATTTTTGATTATGTATCCTCATGTATGAGGTGGCCTTAAATATCCAAAAAACAAAAACACCCAAATGCAGTTTCACGAGTGATGGGGGAGTCTAAAATGTCTAAAGCTGTCACACCGTCGTCAATTAATGTGACGTATTATGTAATTTCAAATGTGAAATGCCCGTAAATGCAACACGCCGTTTGCACCTACTTTTTCAGAGTGTAACGCGAAATCTTACAAAAAGAGCCACATCTCAGAGAAACGAGGAAATATGTGTAGGGATGAGAGGCAGCGTGAAATGCTGCTGACGTTTGCCCTGCTGGGGAACTGAAGGTGTCACAGGAAAAGAAAACAGAACTTAAACGCACCTTGAGCTGAGATTTGGAAACTTTTCCACGGTGGTCCACGTCCAGGGCGGTGAATGCGTGCCATATGGCTTTTAAAAGCTCCTCTCGAAGCCACATTTTGTCCCTTGCTGGCAGCAGAGGCAGTTTGTGTCCGTCTGTCCGTCTTTGTGGGGGCTCTAAAGACTGTTTGGAGGACGGTGAGACGGGAGGCGCAGATGGAGAAGTGGTGCTGGTAGCGTCACGTGACCTTTGATACTTCGTCTTTTTCAAACACCCCGATGAACACAGTGATGGAGAACATGGAATTTGAAATAAGCTTTATATCAGTCACTATTGAAACCTTAAAACGCCGGTGAGGTGAAGGGACATTTTAAATGTATCTTTGACCACTCACTTTCAGACCTTTGTGAAATTTCATACAGATGAGGCCAAATGACAACGAACCCTTGCCCTGTAACTGCTGAAAAACGTCCAGGCATGAATTGGAAAAAAAAAATTTTTTTTGTCAGATTCATTGAGGACTTCTTGTTTTACAACCATTTACAGTACCTGGATTTAGTTTTGTAAATCAATTTTTTTTAATGTTCAAACCCCTCTTTCCACCACTTATATGTATATCATTAACACCCTGTGGTGTGCTTGAAAATCCATTGCTTTTCAAACATTTCTTGGATGACTGCCTCCATGATTCTTCCTCCACCGTGCTCAACAGTGGAAATGAGGCTTGAGGTACAATTTTCATATTCTTCCTCCATAAATGACCGCAGAATATTGTCCATGTTATTGAACCCAACACAAAAAACACTGACTTTGGAAAGCTAGAAATGTTGCTGTGTTGTGTATTCCCAGCTTTATGCCTCCTTGTTGTGATCTCCTGGTATTTCCTTTGTGTTTTTGTGATCTGAAGACACGATCTTGCTTGAAACCAAAGGGCTTTAACCATCTATCCTACCTTAAGTTAATCAATTCCACACAACTTCTTTAAATAGAAAAACAGACAGAAACAGGTATTTTTGCAAGCCTCGTCTTAAAATTTAAAAATAAAACTAGCCCCAGTCACCTACGTATGAAGAAAAAAACTCCACCCTTCATTCGTTCCACAGATGCAATGACAGAAAACATGTTCATGTTGGTTTTTATGAATCGCTTTGAAATCCAATGTAAAGGAAAGACTCATGATCTTAAATCCCCTTAGTTTTTTTTTAATGTCGTTGTATATATAGATGGTTCATCCATACACCAACCAAAAGCTTGAGACCTTCACGATAAGTCCAATTGTACATGCTTCAATGACGCATCCAACTGCACTTTCAGTGCTCACAAACACTTGTCTTGTAGCCATACTGAACACCGAGAGCATCCTTTTCCTGAAATTAATGTTTGAATTGCCCCACTGATCTGCTCTGTAACCAGATGCGTGAATAACCAGCCGTGACAGGAGTCACTTGCAAAGTAACAAAGTTACAGCTGTTTTCATCTTAAATAGTCTTCAATTTAAAAAATTTGCAGTCTGATACAGAAGGCTAGGAGACCTGAACAATATGAAAGTGCTAGTCATTAATTTACAGAGATCAGGCATCACATAGTGCTAAGAATTATCCAATATGCTACATATGAATACAGCTGTTGATACCTTACAAATGCCTCTGGTGGTTTTTCAAGGCTACTTGAAAACTCAATAACCTTGGCTTGTATGTACATAAACGCGAGTGTTTGTTTATGCAGAAAGTAACAGATTTCATCACTACCAGAGGTATGGTATTATCACGGCCGATTGGCCACAACAGTGATAACGAAATACTTAGTCCCATTATCAATTCTGTTAATCCCCCAAATTTGTTTTGCGCGGGAAGAAAGACAAAAGAGTGGCTGTCGTGGTGTCCCCACCGCTCGGGTTCCGGACGACAGCGTTGTTCTGAGCTTCTTCTCTCGCATCGTGCTCAAGTTCTTGGTTTGTTTTCCCGAGTCACTGGTTGCATTTTGGTTGCTTTCCCACATCTTCCGGTGCTTTTTCCCCAATTGACAGATTGAAGAATGACTGAGAAGAACCAGTTCTGGAACCACTACTTAAGGGAACAACACAAGCTTTTTTTTTTTCACTTCACTACAATCAGTCACAGAGTAATAAAAAGTAGAACAAGATGACTCAATTCATTCCTGGAGCAGTGCCTCCAAAGTTGAAAGTAGATGGCACTACTGGAGCTGTGAACTTGTACCCGCCGTGTTTCTCGATCATCTTGGATTCTGAAATCACATGACAAGCAATAGTGCTTTAAAAACAACAAGTAAACAGCCGCCAACATTTACTGCAGTCTTACAGTTCACATGTCTAATATGTTATTTCTTATTCCTCAATCCACAGAAGCTTAAAACCACAATAAACTTAAAATGATTTGAAACTTCTTAAGATGGGGGAACTAATGTAAACAAAGACAAAAGGGGATTTTAATATCAGGTAACAGAGACAATGTGGAGCGGATGGTTTATTTGTTTAAATTGATATAACTCCAGAAAAGCAGAAAAGTTCAGCTACTGTCCCTTTAAACATTTTATGCTTTGGCGTTTTATTTTTTATTATGTTTAGAAAGAAAAAAATGAACTGAAGATAGAAATGAACTGCTGGACAATGAAAAAGTATAATAGATTGATTGGACAAAAATGTGAAACATACACTGCAATTGGTTTATAACCAATGCCACATTCTGTGTTCATCTTTCAGGAAGTTTGAGCCAGACTTTAATATGAGCAAAAAGCAAGAAGCACAAAAAAGGAGAAAAATCGCTTTTATTGGCAGACTGGTGCGACGTCAGCGTTTAAGTCATTGTAGCCGGCGCTCACCGTGTGCCGCCCGCCTCTGGTCTGCAAGTGTGCCGATGTCCTGAAGGTGTTTTCCCTGTTCTTCGTCGAGGCTTTGCGTTAATGCCTGGTACCATGCAGGGTCTCGGGTCTGAATGTCTGAAACACAGAATTCGGGATCAGTTCCGCCTCATTTTCATGTCAGAGACGGTGCTCAACAGGGCCGTCATCGGGCCGACGTCTTACTCTGCAGTATGGCTTTGAAGATCTGATACTCGTCCACTAAATTATCTTCATCGTCTACAGCTGTAGTGTAGCCCTCCAGTGCCGTCTCCTCGGCGTCGTCTTCCTCCCAGTCTTCATCATCCCCGTCCTCTCCCGCCTGCTTGGCGAGCATCTCCAGGTATTCCTGACCCTCCTCGTCGATGTCGTCCTCGTCACTGCCCAGCTCGGCTGCACACACACACACACACCACAGGGATTTAAGCTCATGGCTGACTTTACCCCGCCGGGAAGCCACTCAGGACGGCCGATGTGATGGCGAAAATGACGTACCGTTGTCTTCCTCGTCCTCCCCATCTTCGTCGTCATCGTCGTCCTCGTTCTCGTGCTCTGCTCGACAGGCGTACGCTCTTTTGAGGCCCGTGAACAGGAGGATGGCTGCGGGGAGAAGCTGGTTGGCCACCTGGTTGACAGCCTGAGGCCTGTGGTCCAGGTCGATGAGAGCGCAGAGTCCCAGAATGCACATCTTCCTGTCATGGAGGCTGTGGAAAGGGCCAGATCAGGTAGTTAGGTCTGATCACACCAACATAAGCGAGAATAAAAATAATTTGTGGGAATTTGGTATTAGCCAGCAGGACTACCAACTCTGAAAAGTTCTTAGCCCGGACCAAAAGTAGCGAGCCCGATTGGTACTATTCTGTCACGTGGAATCAAGTATACTATATCTGAATATTTATTCGTAACCTTGCGTCACGTCGCGTGCGTATTCGGAAGTCAACATGCAGAACATCATTTGCAAGGAGATTGCTTGGAACACTGTGTTATAATTTGATTAAAAACGTTTTCAGATCCTCTTGCTTGACGGCGCAACCACGTAGCGCCTCGAACGATTTCATAAAAATGAGAAACTGCAAGATAACATGGTAGGACGATGAATTTCAAACGAAAACATTTTTTTGGGGTCGATTCCCTGTTGTATTTTGGTCATTAGTGCAAACACTGCAGGATGTAGCAGTAGGCCAATTGATGTGAAGAGAAAATTCAGGTGTTCCAGATGGCGCTTGTTGAGATCCAAGCCTTACCCGAGGAAGCAGTCGACATCTTTCAGCCACTGGGTGATGAAGTGGTTAGTGATGGGCTCAGTGTTGTTGGGGAAGCGGAGGTTCTCTAAAGTGTTGAGGAGCAGGGGGGGGCTGTAGTAGAGCGCGGCGATGGCCACCTGCAGGCACATGGTCCTCAGCTCGCTGGTCTTCACCTCCCGCGTCAGGCGCTCCAGCGCGGCCGCCACGAACAGGGGCACCACCTGCAACAGCAGCACGCCGCCACGCTTGAACCACACCCAGGCGTCTTTGGGAGGATTACACGCGTTCTTAATAGGGGCCTGACCTGGTCGATGCCGCGACCCTTGCACTGCAGGATGATGACCTCCAGCAACTTGGCTGCGTGGCTCTCGGGGTCCTCTCCGGGATCGCCTGTCAGGACCTGCGGCCAGTAGCAACTCAGGGTGAGCCACCTCAAACAATGCTTATTGAAATCACTCCTACTCCAATGAAAAGAGGAGTTGTAGTTTCTACCATTTACCTTCTTGCACATGCTATAAATGATCTCCAGGTATTTGGTGTCGGAGAGGAGGGTGTCTGTATCAACTGTGACGTAGTTGTGAAGGAGAGGCATCATATCTGAAAACAGAAATTGGTCATACAGATGAAATTTCTGCAAAAGCACGCTGGGCCGGAGCCAGAATACTTCCTCAAGTGGCCGTACCTGTGAAATAATCAAAGCCATCTTGCTGGAAGACTTCGTACACAAGTGGAAGAAGCTGCCACATCTGTGGCGACACCTGCTGGCAGGTGAGGCTGCCGGCCAAGGACAGGATCTCCTCGTAGAACTCTGAATACCAGCACAGGAAATCAAGGTGAGTCACCGGAGGTGAGCAGGTTTGTTTACAGTCAACGGGTCATCTCTACGGCCGGCAGACAGAAGGCTTAAATGCAACACGCATGGGGAATGTGGTGGCTCAGGAAAGACCGGTTCTGCTCACCCAGAACATGTTGCTGCAGCACGGTGCCAATCACCTGCAGACAGATGCCCTCCAGCTGCTGAGTGATCTGCAACAACAAAGGTTAAAGGCAATGAGGCTTTAAAATGTTAATTGTGCGATTTTGGCTGCTGTGCACAAATGCAAGCTGAGGTCGTTAAATAGCGTTGTGTATTTCCCTGATTATTTTTTAGAAGAGATTTAATTTACTTAACTAAATTTATGGACTAAAAGCAATAATTTCCTCTGCTGAAAAGCAAAGCAAGTATTTTTCCCCCCTCAAAATACCCAGCTTTACATAATCAGAAATCCTCTGTGCTTAGCTAAATCTAATGGTCCTTTGGCTCCAAGCAGCAGCAGCAGCCCCGCGTATCAGCAGACACGGTGGCAGCATGCCCCGGCACTATTTCTAGCATCTACCTCAGCCTCTGAGTCATTCTGAACATGGTGAGAACAGAGCGTGTTCCCAGGAGTTGGTGGGTGGCTCGAGTGTGTTGGCAGGAGCCCCGCTGCAGACCAGAGCTGCTTTTACAGAAGCAGTGGGGCCGTGCTGAGTGATGGACCAGGAAGGAGCGCGTGTACGCGTGCGTGCGTGCGTGTGTGGGCCTCCCACTTTGTGGCCATGCTGCTAACCTCTTTGTGGTCCTCCACCACACTCAGCAACGTGTCGATGGTGTTGAGGATGCCCATGGCTGTCACAGCCTTGTCATCCCCTCCCTCCTCGTCGGGCCCCGTCTGAATCACCTGGTTGAACGTCATTGCCTGTCAAAGAGCAAACAAAAAAATGTTTTCCACCACAGATCCGTTTGTTGAGAAGCAGGGAGGCGATCCGATGTTGATCCTTAGAACGGCTGAAATGAATTGATGAACGGGACCAATAAAATATAACTTGATTTCATCCGTAAAAATCTGTTTTTTCAGGTTAAAACATGTAACCACTTCAATTCTACGAGAGGGAATCGAATCATAATTTATTCAATTTCTGCTCCCTGTCCTTTGGCCCAAGTCCTGTGTGCTAGTGGTGCAGATCATCTTCAAATATTTATTTCCCTTTTCGGATCACAGCTCGCATTCATAGAAATCTTAAGGGAGGGGGAGTTGTTTGGCCGTTGAAGACGGTTTCATGTGAGATGATAGCGCCGCGTAGCCCCATCACTGGCTCCACTCACCAAGTGCTGTGTCATTTCCACTGCAATTGGAGTGACTTCCTCGCTGTATTCACAGATCATCTTCTGTATGACATTGGTGAGGTCGTCGTTCTCCGTCTCCCTGACGATGTGCAGGAGAGCCTGCATCACTGGCCGAATGAAGGGGGTGATGTATTCTTTGGCTGAAAGACAAGGGCATCGCCTTAGAACACCTTAAAACCCAGAACAACAAATGCAGTCGGGTGGGACCGTGGAGCCCGCTCACCTTTCTCCTGGTTGCTGATGAGGACCTGCAGGGCAATGGCAGCCTCCACCTTGACTGGCATCTCGTTGTCATTGATGAGACAGAGGCGGGTCAGCTCCAGAGCCGTCTGCAGGTTCTGGTCACTTTTGAACTTCACCTCACAGAAGTAATGCAGCACCCAGCATGCCTTTGAAAAAAGAAACGGGTTCAGAACGTGCTGTGGGATAACGCTGAATAAAGCAGCTTTGAAACCTTTCTCTGAAAGCTTAGGCTCCTTAACTCCTACGACTCTGAGGTCCAGTGGCCACTCACCCTGGCTCTCATGTAGCCCAGTTCACTGCGAAACAGGGGGAAGACGTGATTCTGCAGCATGAACTCCATCTGGTCTTTATAGATCTTTTTCTGTGAGAGAAAAGAAACCGCCAACTGTAACGCAAACATTTCACTTTTTCCATGTAAAGGACGCACTTAATGTGTTGTACTTTCAGAAAAAGGGGCTGTTCAGGCTAAAAAGTGGTCAAAACCTGCTGCACCGTTTGCATTTACCCAACAACTGGAAACATCTATAGAAATCAGAACAAAAAAATTCAAATCAAGTAAGAGGTTTCTATTTCCATCTTTAAAACGATCTCTTATCATATCCCAGTCGGACACCAAAATACACCAACAGCTCATGTGGGCTGTTGTAGTAAAAAAGGGAGGATGTGTCGAGTGTCACTGCCACCTTTAGTGTCTAAAAATGGTCAGCATGTGAACCGCGCAAGTTAATCCATGAGGAAAACAGGAACCGTCAAATATATGGTGCAAGCAAAGTTTACCTTGAGCAGGATTTCAGCCAAAGAGCCAATCATGTGCAGGGCGCCATCTTTTTTCCTGGGGTCGGAACTGGGATCAGTAAGAATTTGATAGCAGAAGCCCATGGTCTTTTGCAGAACCTAGAAAGAGCAGAAACATGTGATATTAGCATCTGTAAGCCTGAATATTAACTACAGTGACACAACTGGTTTGTTCCTAAGGCGGGGAAAGAGTTTAAAATAGCAACTGACTTCTTTTCTCTTGTTGCAGGCGGTGAAGAGCAGCGTCTGGGCGGCTGTCGTTGGAGAGATGAAGTCCTCAAACACATCTAATGGAGGCGGCACATATCGGAGACATGGTTAGTCATAACGTTTGCGCACACTTTCTTTGGGCTTACGGGCAAGCCACGTTCTCCGCTTACCAAACTTCATGCGGATGTACTCATACGGGTCCTCCTGCCACAGCTCCTCGTCAGAGTCTGTGTAGCACATGAGCGGGAACACCACATCCTGAATGATGCCCTGAAAGACAAATGGGAGCTTGGGTTAGAGTCCAAACTGCCTGAAACCACGGTGGGACGTTCGCAGCCGTTCTGAGTTTTACCTGGATGTGTGGTTTGAGGTTCTTCCATGTCAGAGCATGCGCTATTCCCTGATTGATGTAATTAAGAGTCTGCTGCAGAACTCTTGGAGCAACATATTGCTTTTCCTTGTACTGGTATAAGACTTTCAGCAGAACCTGGAGGACAAACACACAAACAAAGGTGATCTCTTTTTTCCCCCCGCAATTTAATCCAACCGGGGAACGGCTGCCTGTATATTGCCACGTGAGGTTGTTACCTGCTGTGCAGCCACTGCATATTCTTTTAGGAAAAGGTCAGCAAACTCTGTGTACTCTTTGGTTATGTTGCCTGGACTTCCATATCTGCAATCAGCATTCAAACAAGGAAGTTAAACAAAGCCAAAGCACGTTTGACAAAGCTGGGGTCAAGGGCCTCTTTTCGTACCTCTCGAACAGCCGAGCTAAGATGTGAAGTGCCCACTTCTTACATTTCCACCAGGGCAGCTCTGGACGCTCGTCTTCGTCTATCTGCATCGTCTCCTGCAGACAAAGACATCGGCACGGTTTGATTGCATAGTCTTTGGAACTGAACGTTTTTTAATACCCGGCAACCATAAAGCATTTTTGATCCATTCTGTCTCCTTACTGGGGGCACATCTCTGTCCACTACTGTCTTCAGGATCTCCATCCACTCTGTCAGGTTCTGTCTGTTGATGAGCTCCAGAGGGAGGTTGTACTGGGAAAACGGAGGAAAGTCATGAATATGCGCATTCCAAAGAGGGGGTTATAGATTTAAAAATATTGACTTTTAAAGGAGGAAGTGAAAGTTTTTTTTAAATTTTTTTAACAGGGGTCATCATTAGGGTCATTCTCAGACGTGATGTTACCTGGAAGAGGGCATAGAGGATTTTGAAGATCTGTTTCTGTATGAGGACAGAGTCACTGGAGTGGTCTGGGAGCAGCTGGATGAAGCGTTCTTTCAGCATGGGCATAAAGATGTGCATGGCGGCCACAACAGGCTGACGCTCTTCTGGTTTCTTGTACCTGTTTTGGAAACAAGTGAAACGCTCACCGTGTTGTCCGCCACACCAAAACACAAAAGCCCTTCTGACACGAGAGCTCTGTTGCTTACTCGTAGTTTTTGACCAGCTGGTAAAGGCAAAGCAGGATGCCCAGCCATCCTGCGCTGTTGTCTGACTGCAGGTAGAAGCCGATCTTGTCCACGATGGTCGTCCACTTGCCGGGATAGTCGTGCTTGATCATGTGGTGAATGCATGTCGTCAACTGGACCCTGACGAGTTCAAACGGACAGTTTTAGATTGGCTGATTTAAAAAGCAAATAAACAGGGGAAGTGAACAGGAAAGCGACATAAATAAGATTTATAGATGAGAAATAAGATTTTTTTTTAAAACTCAGTGGCTCAGAGTGCAGATACCTGATGCGCTCGGGGGAGTGGATGATGGCCTCCACTATGTTGTCTCGAATGAACTGCCTATCCTCGTCAGGGATGTTATTAACAGGCGTCTCGGTGCCTGAACCGTCTCCACCACTCCAGTGCTGGGTTATCATGTTCTTAAGGTAAATCACACCTAGTCAGAGGGAACACAGAGAACAAAAAGGTCCACTTTTAGGGAACCTATTGAAGAATTTAAAGAAATCTCAAAGATGGAAAATAGAATAAATACAAATCGCAAACACAAATCAGAACTGTTGTCACATCTCGCCTATGAGCAAATTGTCTATGTTCCCATCGAAGTAGTTCAGACCACTTAACAGTCACCATGTAGAACTAATCATTATGGCTGCGCTCAACATAGAAACTGAGCTTCAGATGTAAATTCTTCCAGCTACAGTTCAGTAGTTTTGAATGTGGCACCAGAGTGTCAGCTGGTTTTCCCCATTAAGCACAGGGACGCGCTCAGTTCTGCGCCCAGCGGAGATTTTGAGGACGGCCGTCAGACTGCTGACACAAACGTCTACGCTGCTGGCGAGGCGATCATAATCCGGCCTATCAATGCTGACAGAGCGCAAACTTCTGCACTCCGCCTATGAAAAACCAAACTACACAACCACAGAGCCAGTGTCATGTAAAAAAATCCCACAAACACCGCAGAGGGGGAAGTCATTTCAAAGCAAAGTTTCCCCGAGCAGTATTTTTCTCAACACCCTCTAATGTACATGTTTCATTTCAAAGCTGTGCAATTCTTTTCTGCGGTGGTGACATTTCTGTCAAAGGGCATCCCACTTGAATGTAACACTGGCGTGACTCATGCATCGATGCTAAATTACCCACCACCACATTTTTATTAAAACATATGAAAGTTGTAGTTCTTTAGGGGCTCCTGGATAATACTGTAGTTCTTCAGTCAGGTGCCACAGACAACAGTGAACTTATATTACCTTATAATAATATCTGTTATTTTGAAATAAAAGAAACAGTTAAATCTCAGGAAGTGCTATTTTTTAATCTGCCAAAGCAGTCTGCGGTTTGAAATAAAAAAGGTGAATGTTTGTGTGGTACCAAAAGGAAGCTCTTAACATGTCGGAGTCAGGCCTCACCTGCTTGCCTGACAGGCAAATCCAGCTGATCAGACATGGTGATACGCAGCAGAGTGGACACAAAGTTTACCTGGGTGTGACCCTGTAAATCATAAGTGGAAACAGCAGAGAGCAAACTGATTACAAACGTGTGTGAATGGAAATACTCAAAAACATGCTCACTGAGAAATGCACAACAATATCATAGTTTGACGCATTACCTGTGCCAGTTTCATTGAAGAAAAAGAAAGGTTTTTAATACAGAAATGCACACGCATTCAGAATATGAGTCAATTTTCTGATTTAAAATGTCACCAAGATGTAGATAATCAGGGTTCCTTTATTCACACGAACAAAAACTGCATTACATGTTCATCTCTGTGAATGTGTAAATGATCAGATGACCAAGTCTGTAACGCGCTTCGCTAATTAATACCCTGCCAATAATCCCATTAGTATGCAGCGCTTTATGTAGTTACAGTTATATTATAAAATGCTTTCAGCCTCTCAGTTACACAAGAACAACAGTTTGTTTCATTTTCTGCCTCATTAAACCGCAAATGAATATCAAAGAGGCAAGGTCCAACGAAGGGGGAAAGCACCTATGACAGAGCATGGAATCTGCAGGTTTACCCCAGCAAAAAAAAGAAAAAAAATAAAAAAAAAAGCCATTTCTTAACAACACTGAAAAAAGTCAAGCCGGCCACGAGAGACTCTTCTCAGCTCATTCAAGTCAACCATCAGCATCAATGCTTATGTGGGTGTAAGAAAACATAAGCCCAGGGCAGTTCCAAAAATAAATAGGAAGTGTTTGTCTACTTGACTAGAGCCGTACATACTGAACAGTGTGGTATGAAATATTGCTTTAATATAAAAATGCTAAAACATTAATGAAAAGAAAAATTTGTGGCAGGCAACAGAGTCCAGGCATCAAAGGCTTTGATTTGACTAGCAAACAATTTATATGGTCTCACTAACAAACTTGGCTTCAATGTAATGCCTTCCTGAACACTGATTATAAACATAAGGCTGCTTTAGGTAAGACTTATGACTTTCACTTCTTCACGTGGATCAATCACAGCTCAAAACGGCTGATCAGACGGTGGGATGCTTGGCCTGGCTGTACAAAAGGCCAATCCTTAAATTATTCATCTTCCACTATTCAGACTTAGTTTGTTTTCAAATTTTGTCACAAACACTGAATCAGTCAATAAGAACCAAAGCCTTTATTTACCATCACAGAACAGAAACGATTAAAATATTAATAATAATTTTGGAATAATTCTCAGGTCTATGAAGTCGGTTGGATCCCTGACCAATATCTAATCTGCTCCCGTTTATCAGGAGCAAAATCATTTGTTCCTCCCACATATATTGCTTTAGATAAACAATTGAGTAAATACAATTTAGTGGGTGCTCTGCTCAAGTCTTTGTTCCATAAATTTAATGTGCAACTCTTCACAAGGAATTTTCCTAACATCATCAAGGACATGCGGATGAATCTGAACCATTCTGGAGAAAACATGGCACACGGCTGGTCTCTGTTGATTCCATCCCAGGCTGATTAACCTCTATGGTGAGATGAGAACAGTTTTGTTATTTTGATACCCAAGAGGTGAAAACGATGCCAATCAACCTAAACAATATCATCCTAACATTAAAGGAGTGAGGAGGAACTGTGGCAATTGGAGCTCTCATCCTCTCTCTTCTCTCCAATTAGAAGGCCGGCACACTTTAAAGAGAACTGAAGAACTAAATCAAGATTTGAAAACAAAATGACATGAGATGATCTGCAGAGACCTTGTTCGGGATAGGACTTTACAATAAAAAAATCAATAACAGAAGAAAATCAATATTCGGTGACCCAGGCAGAACCTGGAAGCCTTTAAAAGACCTTAGGTTTGAGATGTAAACGGGCAAAATGTAAAGCTACTAAATAGTCTAATAAATTCAATGATTCACCTTTATTTCAAACAATGCCACACCACCTGGGCATTTCCGGCATGAAGAAATCGATGGGTGAAGCAGAAATATACATTGGCAGGTGGAAGAGCATTTATGGCCTATTCTGTAAATCAAAGTCAGAATAACTGAACGACCACACTTTTCCACTTTCAATAAATGGTGAAACTAAATCACCGTTTCTAAGGTTTTTCTCTGCCACAATGCCAAATGTACTACAAACATAATGGGGTCAAAGCAGGTCAGTTAAATGTAAAATGAAGGGAGACAGCGCAGTTGCTAACAGCTGATCTTAATTCTGATGGAATAATGTTTACGAATTTGTAATGAACACGGTAAAGTAAATGTCGAATCCACTGTCATATAGTGAGCGAGGCTGAGGAAAACTATAATGGAAAGGCCCGTTAATGTAGCTGTTAATTTGTTGCGAAACATTGTGTTCAACTCAAGGCATTTCACAGTGACACGTGAGCAGCAGCTATGTGTAGCGGAGCTACAGCTCATCCAACAAGTAGCTAAGTTAGCTAGCTAACATTAGCCATAAAGCTACACATCCTGCTGTTGCGCACCCTAACCGGGACTAGTCCCACGTTCACTGAGCTCGTCATGTTATTTAACAAACCACCCGCATGATCCTGGGTTCGTGTCAGCGCGTATATTAAGTTTGACTGTACCAAGATAGTACAAGACAAGCTAAGAGTTGTCTCTGTGGCTAGGCAGTAATGGTTAGCTTGTTTAGCATTAGCAACACAGCTGGCTCAAAATGAATGTGATGGTTTACTGGCACGCGAGTGTCATCGCAGTTGCAATAAGCGCCACTTAGTTTGTGTTTACTACTCTACAGTGGTGGTCGGTGTCATGGGGGTAACATCTAGTATACAAGTGGGGCGGAATTTCACACCCCATCTGACACGGAAAAGCAAGTGGAGTCCAGTCTGCGTGATCGCACCATCTTTCTGTTGTGGACAGTCGAGGCCCGAACCGAGACCGCGCCACTACTGACATCACCACCAACAGCTAATCTAAACTTTTACCTCGTTCAGCTGTCGCTCCGCGGCCTCCCGGAGATTGGGATCCATCGTGCCCCGAAGGGCCTCGACCAAAGCTTCGGGATCCATCACGAAAACTCTTTTACGGCTCGGATTTTAATATTTCAGAGGTCTATCAGTTCCCAGTCACTGCGCACATGGACGCACGGCTCTCCGGTTACCCGGCGCGAAAGGAAGCAGTGAATGAAGTACCCGGATAGATCAGCGCCAAATTTGTGTAATACGAATTTCCGGTTGCGTGGTGGGAGTTGTAGTTTTTGGCGTCTGTAGCGACGTTATTTATTATAATTCCCTGCTTTTTAAAAAAACGATCAACTTATTAGGTTCCTTCATCCCAAGGAAAAAACACTAAGCTAAATTGCTTTTTCATAATGGTTAGTATCAAAAATAAAAAGTGTACCTTTAGATTGTCTGAAGGTTTTCAGATTTTTTCAGTTTCAGTTGAAAAGTCTTAGTATTAGGGCAGTATAACTTTACAAGATGCTCAATATTCCTCGTTTTAACTACACGGAAGGACTGTTCTAGCAAAAGTTCTCACATCTCACAAGTTCAAACATTACTTTATTCTTGTAATATCATTACTTTATTCTCATTATTAAAATAAAAACAGTAAACAAAAAAACGTTCTGATCCCCAAAATCATAATTTTTTACATAAAACTAATACAAATATCAGGCTGAAATTATAAGAAACTGTGACTGTAAAACACAGCTGGTCCAGTTAAATACTTCATGAATACTGCGGAAGCTTACACGTCTTCTTTCAAATAAGCAAAAACTCATATTAAAGGTAATGGAAAGAAAAATGCATATTTGTTATTTAGCTTTAATTGCTGTGAATCATCGTGTAGATTTCCTTTTTTTCCTTTTCTTTTTTTTTTAAACTCTTGTGCTCATGGGGTTCCTGTTGTAATTCCCGGTGTTCTCCAGTAGGGGGCTACACTGCGGCTGGGTCGGGGTTTGGACGTCTGAGGTAAAAGGTCAAACTGTAACGTGTCGTCAGAGGTGTCAGTACACCGGTGTCTGTCGCTTTTGCCGGTACTAGCTGACTTTCTTAATCATCGCTTTCTTCAACGGTATTTCAGAAGATGGCCAAAAAGCGGAGAGACGTACGGGACTCGGACGGTTCGTTGTTGGGGCAAGAAGACGTGAAGTCCAACGATAGTGACTCGCAGTTTCTGAAAGGTTGGTCCTCTGTGTTGGCTAAGTGTAAACCCCAGCGGAGAGGAAAGCTAATACTCGTCGGCAATGCAGACACATTGAGCAACAAACAACTCGACGGCGGCCTTTATCGTGGTTGGTCCGTGATGCGGAACTCGAGCTGATGTCAGCTGGTGCCTTCGAGCTGAAATTAGCCCCGCGTGTGTCCTCTTCGGCGGTTAGCTCGACGACGTCAAATCGGGTGATGCGAAGCCGCAAAATCACATCAGACATGGTCCTGTCCCATTAGTACCCGGGACCACAATAGCTGATAAATGGAAATACCAGTCTCACAGCTTCACCCCTTTCTTCCTCCTTTCTTCTGAACCAGGATAAAGCTCAATTCTTAGATAACGGTGGCGATTTCATTAGCCTTGTATGTAAATCAAATCAGACGGCCATTTAAAGCCAGAACAATGACAAACTATTTAACCTCTCACTGAAATGACCCTTTCCTTTCTGATACTAGACAAAAATGTAATTCAAGTGTTTTTATCCATACTGCCTAAAGCATTTAAGTTAGAAATGTGTCAAAATGATTAAAAGGTGTGTTTTGTTGTGAGCAGCCCAATACTTCTGGCTGTAAATGTAATGGAGTACAATGAATACGTGGTTTACATCCTACTGATGTCTTACAACTACATTCCTGTTTGGCATTTCCACCACCACCTACAGGCTGACTATTATCGACCAGGAGATGAAGATAGTTTTATCTTTAAAGATCATTTCATTGAGCTCAAAGCTTGAGCAATTTAAAGAAATGCCTTCGAACTGGTTACATAGAGTCACAGAGGTGGTGTTCTTGGCTAATGTTGTAGAGGGTTTACTTAGTGGGTGTTCAACTTTATTTATCCCAAAACAGAAAACACCCACCACCCATTAACACCCGAGTGTCTCCACGCAACCAAATTTCAAACCTTTTTTGTAGTTGTTGTCATATTTGACTTATTGATTCCCATCCTGAACCTTACACCTCCTGGTTTTCCAAACAGCCAGCTCAGCCGGAGCAGATCTGACGTTTGGGCCGCAAATAGGCCGGTTTGTTTTTACTTCTTCAACATTTACTTATTTATTTATTTGTTTTATTTGCTAGTTTAGAATAGAGCACACATATTCATGTCCATCTGTTGTATTTCAGTCCAAGTAAGCGCATATTAGAGTGTCATTGTTTTTTTGGGTTTTTTTTTCAGTTTTATATAAGTTAGAAATGGTTCAAGACATTTGCTCTGAAGTAAATATTTTGTTAATGGTTTATAGTTATTACTATGACTGAGTTAAAAAAAAAAGGAATATTTTCATCCACAGAGATATGTTTAATTATAAAAATAGATTATAAACTAATAGAAAAATACCTCACTACTTGTTTTTAATAACTTTTTCTTCTCCATTATAATTCTAATGGTATATTTTAGCTTATCATATAAATAGAAAAAAAATACAAATCCCCATGTACAGTGTGAATTTAAATGCCTAAAATCAAATTATGTTGTGGTGAGGCCACTAGTGTCTAATTCATGAGTCAGGTTATCAGTAGCTTTGACATCATGCAGTCGAGTTAAAATGCAAATCTCAATGACTAACTTAAAAGATAATCTCTGCAATAAACACCCGCTTTTACATGTGTGACTGTTCGTAGCCGTCCCAGAAAGTGTTAATTAAAATCATGATCAAAGCTGCACAGGCCTCACAGGAGAGCCTCAGTTCCCTGCAGAGGCTCCTAGAAGTGATGCAAAACCTAGAAGCAAATTGCATAAACCTGCCGGTACAGTTTGTTTTTTCACAAGAAATAGTAGAATTGTTTGTTAAAAAAATGTTTTCTTTCTGTCTACAGAGGCTAAACATAGTATAGGAGGTTCCACACGCATGTCTCTGCTGATTTTGGTGTCCATCTTCGCCTGCTCTGCTTCCGTCATGTACCTGGTCTACAGAAACTTCCCAGAGCTTCCCGAGTGAGTTCCCGGACGGGTATTTAACTGTCCAAGAGACAGGATTAACATGTTTGAAAATGTATTGTACCCACAAATGATTGTACTCTTAAGTCTAAACACATATATACTGTCTAAAAAAGCCTTCCATGTTTAATCTCTAAGTGTTTGTGACTCCACCAGAAAGGAAATGCACTCTTCAGTGACCTCAGGAAGAGTTTTCTGCTTTTTCTGCTTCATTTAGAGTGAAACAATGGGAGCTGTAACTTACACGCTGACGCATTGTTTGCTCTGGGAGCCTTAATATTGTTAATGTGTCCGTAATTTCAACAGAATATTAGGTCATTTTAAGACGTTTGTATAATCAGCACCGTTGTTTTGGACCGTCTTGATCCAAAAGATTTCCTTAGCCTTGGGTGCATATGGTAGTTTTGTATGGTTTGTAGTTACGGGTGGACTTGAATTTATTTGTAACATATTACAAGTGAAGAGGTAAATGATTGAAAACTATTGAGTTAACAGGTCACAAACAGACCAGCAAGCGTTGTGGTGTTTAGGGCGAAACTCTTTGGGCACACCGACTGACTGCTGGTTAAGACATCAAATGACAAAGGAAGGAAGGAAGTTACAAATATGACAAAATGATCTGTCTGCAATGCCTTTTTTCTTTAACAGACTTTAGAAATTATCAAAAGTGTGTTCGCATGAATAAGTTGTTTTTTGTATTCAGTATTCAAGGAGGTTCTTTAAAAATCCACTTTTGTTCCACTGAATGAGTCAAATGTGCTTTATATTTAAGATCTGTATTTTAATGACATTGAAACATGTTATGTTCACAAAGCTCACAATAAGCATTGATGTAGTGACAAAGTTGTTTGTTTACTATTTGTGGATGCCAAGCTGGAAATTATCAAAGGGAGGGGAGGAAAAGGCAACATATGTTGTTTGTGATTATGGATTACAGAGGATAATGATTTTTTTTCAAAATGTGTTTTTCAGTGATGAAATGGAAAAAATCAAGATCCCCAAGGACATGGACGATGCAAAAGCATTGGGAACCGTATTGTCTAAATATAAGGACACCTACTACACCCAGGTGTTGGTGGCCTACTTTGCAACTTATATCTTGTATCCTTGGAGAAAACAACTTGCCTTTTTCATGTCTGGAAAGGTGTTATTTTTAGTTTAAGCCCTTAACATGTTACTTAATTTTTTTTTCTCCATATTTAACAAATAAAATGATTTATTTTTTATTTTGATATTAGTATTTTATTATTTTTAAAGATATTTGCTAAAGCTAAATACTGGTATGTAAACATGTTGCAAATATTCACCTAAAGGATTTAAGTCCACCACAGATGATTTCTTGTTTCGTTACTGATATGTTTAATTTCTGAGAACTGACTAACTGTTGCCCTTGACACTTTAATCAGCCTCCAGACGTTTGCTATCCCAGGATCAATCTTTCTCAGCATCCTGTCTGGCTATCTTTACCCTTTCCCTTTGGCTCTGTTCTTAGTTTGTTTGGTAAGTAAGACCAAGATAGAATCAATCTTATTCAGTGACAGATGTAAGAGATGATAAAAAAAAACATGAGTGCCAAAACCTGGAGTGGAATTTTAACTCTCACTTGATTAACCATTATTAACTGTTGGTTTCCAAAACAAAGAGATCTTAGAAATATTTTTTGTTACTTTTTATTTCATAATAACAAAAGTAGTAGTCTTACACACACACCAGTGTGCATATCATGGGTGCAGTCGGATATGTATTATGTATGTATTTTTAAATTCCAAAATCTGATTTTGGTTTTGCTCTAATCAGTCCTGCAACTTTCAGCTACTCATTGTGTGTTTTTTCTTTTTTTGTTGGCAGTGCTCCGGCCTTGGTGCTTCCTTCTGCTACATGTTGTCGTATCTCGTTGGCAGACCAGTGGTGTACAAATACCTCTCTGAGAAAGCACAGAAATGGTCCCAGCAGGTTAGAGGGTCTCATTTTTGTCATTATTTAAGTCATATGAAGCCGCTTATGGGGTTTTCCACTTGAACCTACTCAGCACGGCTCGGTTTGACTTTTTTCATTTCCCATTACGGGTTGGTGGCGCTTAACAGTTTTAGCTCATTTCTAGATTGGGGTTCCAAGCAGGGGGAGTTTGACAATCGGCAGCCTTAAGGCAGCTGAATGGCCTAGCAGTCACATGACTGGATGAGTCATGAAGCCCAATTTCATTGAAGTATTTTCCTTGATCATCAACATTATAAATGCTTAATCCTCAAACCAACACAGCCGTTCAACACTAAGAATCAACCAGTAAATCGGCAACCCTCATTATCGTCTGGTGTTTGTGTTGCATGGGAATGACATCACGGGCCATTTGGCAGGTTAGGGCGATGCGAGTAGAGCCGAGCAGGGCTGGAATGTTACTTAAGGAAAAGCTCCATTATTTTGTTCCTTCAGACCCCCATAAAAATGGTCTTAAAGATTTATTTATTTTTTTAAACAACTTCTGGTCATTGTATCAGCCTCCCACCAGCAGATTTTTGTATAGGAAAGCCTCAACACTCACCAGTTCTACTTTGACTTTGCTGGCAGGTTGACAAACATCGAGATCATTTGATCAATTACATCATCTTCCTGAGGATAACCCCCTTTCTTCCCAACTGGTTCATCAACATCACTTCCCCTGTCATCAACGTGCCTTTGGGCGTTTTCTTCGTTGGCACCTTTCTGGGTAAGACTACCTACGTCTGTAGTATTTTACCGTGGTAACACTTCACCCGTCTGACCTGCCCCTGGCTGTTGGCAGGAGTGGCTCCGCCGTCGTTTGTGGCGATCAACGCGGGAACGACCCTCTACAAACTGACCACGGCCGGCGAAGCCGTGTCCTGGAACTCCCTGGCCGTGCTGGGCATTCTGGCCGTGCTGTCCATCCTGCCTGTCTGCTTCCAGAAGAAGCTGCAGCAGAAACTGGAGTAGAACTCGTAAACACCTCAGTACCTCACCCACAGGCCGAATCCAACGTCCACCCCTTTGGGCTCAGGAACAGGCAGCTGCCATGAAAAGCTGCCACTCCCAGTCTGTGGCTCAGCCCATCTTCTCTGACCCAAAATTGCATGCAGTGGTGGGTTATTCCTAAGTCCAGTGAAGTCTAAACTGTCCACTGCTTGCAGATTTAAAAATGTTGATTTAGTCTTCTCGACTCATATTGCTGATTGTGGCACATCTTGTAAATAACTAATTGCGGTTTTCGTTTTTACTTTGGGCTCTGCTTGTTGTTTGATTCTTTAAAAACAGTTGAAGGTGCTACCGGTAGGATGCTTAATACGTTGTAGCATTGTTCTTGCTACAAACTGCGACAGCACAGTGCCATCAGTGTCTTTTACTGGAACTTGCTTACCTTTGCTTTGGCAGTAACCCCATCCTGCAGCAGCACCTTTAACTCCCACTCACCTCTAATGGTTTTGTCAACATTCTTAATGTCTTGTTTCAGCCTAATGACGTGTACCACCACAGCAATAACCATCATGCCACACTGGAAAGGAGATTTTTTTAGCTTTTAAAAAGTAGACTTTGAAACGGCGTTCTCTCCTTGGTAAACACTGTATCCCGTGTAAAATGGGGAAAATATCATCTTTGCCATGTCAGTTCTGTTCAAATGAGCAGCCTAAACATTTAAAGACCACACAAAGCCGGTGATGTATCTTCTGATCAGCCATTCCAGCATTGCTGCTCTCAAATTTGCATTTCTCATTATGAAAATTATGTCAAGACACTTTCTGCAGTTTAAACACCTGCAGACCCAAAAGACGGCAAAGCACATTTAATTAATTTTAGATTTAAGAACATTTTTAAAATTGGCATGAGCTCTCATGAATAATGAACGTTTTTCGTGTATTGTTTTCATCTCTGTGATATTGGGTTGCCAGCTGAATACCTGGCTTTCTTTTTTTGTTTTGTTTTCCATATGCAGGTAATGATGATGCAGGGGCACATCATTAGATAGCCACCACTCTTGGAGGAGTATTGTATTCATTACAACATATCTTCTTATTTTGTGGTCTTCTAACTCTTTTAAATGTCTGTGTAATCTTATGAAGATAACCTACTGAAAAACTGTCTGGATGGTTGGAAGCAGATGGGCAGTACATAAGAATCCTCCACGTCTCTCGGTAGTATATTTCGAGGAAAATGTGCTTTTCCTGTTTTTCTTTGAAAGTCTCGATCCTTAACAGACTTATTGAACAACTGTGATATTCTGATCCTGGTCCCAGTTCAGAAATTGTTACATAAACATCTATTTATGTAAATGCACAACAACTTTATCACTTTTATTTCTTTTGTTGTAAAGCAAGTTTTCTTTCTTTTTTGTGTGGGGGGGGGTTATTTGTACACCTACAGAACAACTTTGTCTTAAAATATGGACCTTGTGTCAGATTTTAAGTGATAAAATACTATGACTCCTAAACCTAACAGATTTTTTTTGCCTACACATTTAAAAATAAGTTGTTTGGCTTATCGTTTCTATGTTCCAGACATACTGTAGAAACCTTTGACCTGTTTTAAACTTGTCACTAAGACAAAGTGACACCGTGAAAGATATTTTTCCTCTTAAAACCACAATCAAACACGGGAGATAATTGTCACCCTCTGCTGTTTCAAAAAGCAGTATTATTCTACTCTGAGCGTTGCTGTTTGGCAGTATAACATGTCATGTTCAATCCCTTTTTTTAATTTATTGATTCATTAAAAAGACCTTTTCAGAATTTGTTTGGACTCCGAGATTTCTGTAAAGAGCAAATTATGTTCCAAGGGTTTGTCTTTTTTTAAAAAAATGTACGATCCCATAGACTGTACAAACACAAGATAACTGCATAGAAACATTTGTTCCACAAGCCCTGATATTTCACAATTATATTCTGCTTTGTTTATATGATCAGAAAAGAAAATGAATACTTGGAAATACAAAGCTAATTTCACAGAGCCAGAATTGAGGGATTGGTACCACCAGGTGGTGACAAAACAACACACCTGAAGTGTTTGGCTCACATGGAGGTGTGGACTCTTCTATAATATGTTTGTTAATAGAGTAAGTAGAGAGTAAGCACCTCACTTGCTGATGTCACTACAAAAATGCCTGAAGAATGAGAAGAATTACAATCCTGACGTGTCTTCATGAAAACAGTGAAACTAAATGGATTCTCATAGACAAACGCTACTGAAATGAGGCTACTGTTAACAAAAAAAAGAGAGTGATGGTGGTGATATTCTTTAACAGCAAACTAATAACTTGAGGGAATTAGAGACCTGTTTATGTTCAGTAGTCTCTATGGCATATTCCATGTTCTTTCTAAAAATGAAGCTCCAGCATTAGTGGCTCTTTAATGAAAGTGGAGGGACAGGAAACGGGGCGGACCCACCCAGGACTGGCCCCAGGTCGGGGACGAGCCATGCCCCTGACCTTTGGTCTCTGTATGTGGGATCCACCGGTTTAACTGCAAGGCTCAATTTAAATATCCCCTGGGTCGTTTCAAAGTCTGAACTGTTTCAAAGCAGAGTCAGAGTTGAGCCGGTGTGTCCCCGTCTGCATTACTCTGAAGGGGCCGGACCGGATGTGCGGCGGAGGTTGGTGCTAGCTTAAAAGGGGTAGCTTACTATGGGTAGAGATTTTCGAGCCGCGCAGTAACAAACCACACGTAATGGCTGGGAGAAATCCCTTCTCCGCTTTCCTTTAATATGCTCCCAGCTGTAGGGACAAGGGTAGCACCGGACCAGTCTCAAAATGACCACCGGCTTCAGCTCCGGGTCCTCCCGGTTCGCAGACTATTTTGTGATCTGCGGACTCGACACCGAAAGCGGGCTGGAACCCGACGAACTGTCCGGTAAGCGTATTAGCCAGCGGGTGAACGTCGGGCTGATATTGGGGGAAATTATGGAGGAAATGTACCTGTGAATAGAGTCAGTTTTTTGGTCTTTGTCTTGGTAAACGTTGGTGTAATTAATTAATGTATCTCACATATACTGTGGGGTTGTTAAGGTGAATACAAAGCGAGCCCAACGCCAGGCCTAGCTCTTCTCCCCTCAGCCTGTTTATTTGTAATGCCCGATGAGGACTGAGGGATTACTGCTGCCCATATCTCTTTATCGCAATGTAATTTAAAGGTTGTCGTTACGTTGCACTCCATATATATGTAATGTGAAGGTGGTTATCAGTAATAAATGCGTTGGATGTGGAAAAACGGATTGTAAATCCATCCATTAGTCTTTGTTGATGGTGGAATTTCACTGATGGATATAGGCTGATGCTGCACAAGCTCCTGTTTGTCACATTTAAGGAAAGGAAACAAAACATACTTGGGCGGATTAACCTGTCAGATGGCTCTGGGCTAAAAATCTAACCTGCCTTCTTTATTAACCTCCACAGCATCCATTAGAGATCCGCAGCAATAACATAACAAACTCGTTTTAAAGCAGTCATAGAGGCCACAGCAGGTCGTGACACACTGGGGATTGTGTTTGTTTGAGAGACTCTGACCCTTCTGATCGGGTTTTATCAGCATGTGGATGGCATGTGATCGAAGAGAGCATTTTCAGTCGATTTGCATACAAAGTTTGAGCCCTGACATGATGACATACAAATAATTGACTCATTTGAGGGGATTTAGAGGCTCCGTTTTGCTTAGGGGAGCATATCGCCTCCCTGGGGAGTTGTCAGTTTTTGTCTATTTTTTAGGAAAAAAAGCCTTTCTATTTAGATACCCAATTCTGGGATAACAGTAGCCACGAGGAGGGGTCACCGCACATTTTGATAGGTGGAACAATGCTTTAGCCTTCACAGCCGTCATGCTCGGTACAGCTGGACACTTTCATGGATGTGTGACTGATGGGTGAAGCAACCACAAAAGAGAAAATATATTTTCAAAGCATGTCATTCAACAATGTCATTTCATCCTGACGAAAAACACATAAAAGCTGTTGGATCAATGCAATTTTCCATCTATCTTAGAACCACATTGTTACCCAGCACATTGGAGACGACTCTTTTAAATAGATGTTTGTAGCTTGATTGGTTGTAACCACTTTGTTAAGGTGTTTTCTGCAGTTAACACCAAAGTGTGTCGTGGTATGGTGCGGTAATAATGACCACTTTGTGTACACAGCGGAAGTTGTGTGATTTTATAGCTTTCGAAAGAATTGTTTTATGATCTATGAATGGTTTCTTTCGATATTTTGCATCTTAACAATATGATGGACCACAGAAAAGGGTAACTTTATATCTATCTACCAGAAAACATCTTACTTTGTGATAAGAATTGGAATGTAATCATTTATATATTGTGCCAGAGGGTTTAATCTACACTTAATCTTACTGGTTTTACGAGTGAGTGAAAATAAATCCAATTATTCTAAAGTCTTCCTCATGCCTTTTACCCGTGTTGGGTTTTTTGTTTTTGTAGCCTGTGTTTTTTTTTTGTGTTGTCGTTAAGCCCCTATCCATATCAGAAAAAGAACCCCTGAAGGATGAACCCTGTACATTTGTACAGCTGAGAGTCGTGTTTACTCAAAGATAACGCGGTGACTTTTGACAGTGGATATTTGTGTCAATATCTCCCTGCTCCATCAGTTTCCTCACCTAATGTCAGGGTTTTCCAAAGCAACTGCTGCTACTCACCAAATCTGAAGAGAAGAAACTTATCTACCCAACCGAAACAGTGTCTGTAATGCTACATTTGCATTCTGGTCTCGTTAGGAGCCCGTTAGGAGAGATAAGAGCGCCTCTGAAACTGAACTCATCCTCCACTCAGACTCTCGCTGGTTAAAGCCGAGTTTCTCATCTGACTGTGAACTCATCTAAACTCTTATCCGATTCTCGTCAGATGACAGGAGCTGACTTAGCTGTGTAAGCTCTGGCTGACCTGGTGTCCAACTAGTTCAGCCTTTTTTTTTTTTTTAAACTCAATTTTAGGTTGAAACAAAATATATATCTATATGCAGATTACTCTAACTGCTGACCAGGATAGTCAAAGGGGTTTTTTATCCTAGTGAAAAATTCTCCTTTTGATACGTTTTCTCTGCATTGATGTGATTTTTTTTTTGTGACTCAGCAGGTAGTGAAAGGCTTGTGGATTTCCTCTTGCTGCAGAAAAAAAACTTATCTCCTCCTTGAAGTAAAGCAATCATTTTAGTTTTCTCAGACTAAAACTCTGTGCTTCTCTCTTTTTTATTTAAACTTCCCTCTGTGAATTTCCTCTTTTTCACAAGCACAAATTCATTTTGAAAATATGGAACTGGTAAACATTAAGACAACGTGCACGTCTCTTCAGCTTCTGAGTACTGCTCACTTCTAAAACGTTCGGTCCTCGCTCTGTGGTAAGATAGTAAAAACGACCCCAGTTTTGGGTGGCTGTTGTTAAGAAGGCAGGTTCCTGTTTTCTGTCAGGGTGCTACCTCAGCCCTCAGAAGCTGAAACCTGTAAAAGACCCAGTCTGCGCTCTTCTTCATAATTACGCCGTGCTATTTTCTCAAAACATCGCTCGAGCTGTTGTCCTGACAGAAAAATGCACGGTTTTCCTGAGTGTGTGAAAACTGTTCTTTGAAGTCCGCCTGACTCAACAGAAGCGCAACCCACTGAAACTTTGAACAGACGCGCAGCCCGGGGCTTTGAGGTCAAACATCACCCATGTTGCTCCACTTACTGCACGTCGCTGCTGTTTGCTGTAGAAACAGGTTAGGGGCTTGCCCTTATCACCTCTTTCAGTTATGACTAGAAGAGATGATATGGTCTGGAAATTCCACAACCACAGGCTACATATGATTTTAAGCCTAAACACCAGTTCCTAGAAGTTTTTGGACATACTTTCAGTGCAAAAAGTTGGCTACAGGAGACTTAATTTAGCTAAAAATGTTCAATCAAAGTCCTTGAAATGACAAGTTGTCTCGTTATCCTTGATGACTGTTTAGAAAATGCAAGTGTTGGGGAACACCAACCTTATAACTTTGCAAGTGACATCATTTAAGAAAGTGAAACGGTCAGGAGGGTTGTCAGAGCTGTGGTTGTCCAGCTGTTTGCAGTCAAAGGCATTTGAAAGTTGAAAACTTTTTAAAAGTTGATTATTTGTGGCCTTTTCCCTATTTTGTCCTGTCGAAGCGTGAAAATCTGTTTGAATTAGTACGTTACTCAAACACATGACGTTGGAGGAGCAGGTTTTCTTATCTTGAACTTTATTTGAAGCGAGGCTGACAAAATAATAGAGATTTGAGTTCAGCTTCTTGTTGCAGAACAAAAGTAGCATTTCTAACCATTCAGTGTAATTATTGATTGTATGTATGCGTGTGATTTAGACACCGCGCACACTTAGCCCTAAACAATAAACATTTTGTTAGTGACCGACACAGTGGACAAAACAAGCCAAATCCGACCCTCCGATTGATGCGATAGCGTCTCATATACAGTAAAATAAAAACCCCAAAAAACAGACTACCCAAATGTGGGTTTGCAGCATGCTTGCAGCTCGACCAGGGCCTGATTAGCATTTGTATGAGCCAGCAGCCTCACATGCAACTCTGGAAACACTGGGAGCTGAGGGACAGGAGTACACTTCTGGGCAGGCTCTGAGTATTCAAATGCTAAATAACCTTTTGAATTTTCTAGGCAGCCTCTCTTCCCCTTTCCTATTCAGCAAACAAATAAGGATGAATGGCTCAACTTGAAAGCTAGCCTTAAAAGCATCATGGAGTCCTCCTATTTTCACTCAGCTGTTTGTTAATACGTTTTGCCATCCAGCTGAACGTGGACCTGGACAACTTTGGGTGCAGCTAGAGGACAAAAATTGCATTTGGGAGGAAATTTTTCACAGAGGTTAATGTGCTCCATTAGAAACTAATTATTTTAAAACTCAGTTGTGAAGATTTGATGGCCATAATTGGACTAACATTTAAGGTAGCATCAAAAGAAAAAAAAGACTTATTTCCACCAACCGTGCGTTGCATTTTCACTTGTATCTTCATTGTAGTTTCTGTGAGTAGGTTCATATGAATCGGCCTATTTATCTGATTGTTGTCTCTTTTGAGTTATTAATTTAATGTTAGTGTAATTGTTTGTTTTTCTGTTGCTAGATGATGATGTAGACACACGCAGAAACATGTCCTGTTCACTTTTGGTCCCCTCTTTGTATAAGACTTTGTGATTAGTCTTTTTGTGTAACTTTGCTGTGCTGTTGAAGGCCGGCATTGCCATCCCATCATGGCAGACTTATTGAACCTGCATGCTTTTGTCTGAAAGGCTATGGATTATCAGCAGATGGAATGTGTCCCATAAAGTGGCTGCATACAGCTGTTTGGAGCATGACATTTCACTCAAAGATTTCAAATGAGCAGCTTGGGTACAAATTCTCAGTCAGTCATTTTCATTAAAGGTCCAATCTGCTTTTTTTTTCAAACCATACCACTGACAAGGTTTATCAGTATTTAAATACATCAATAATATGATTTTGCTTTTGCAGAAGAACCAGATTGTTTTTTTTTTGCTAATGTGAGCACAGCTTCCTGCCATCATGCTGAAACAGGTAGTGCTGCATTAGCGTTTCCCATCATGGGAAAACCTGTTGATTTCCCCCTGTCCCAGAGTTGAACAGTAGACTCATTCTGCCAGTAGAAGCCTGTCTGCTCTCTCATTCACACGCCTCTCTGCTGCAACCGTACAAGTCCGAAAGATAATATTTGTGATTCACAAACTTTTGAAAAACTCAGTCTGTACTATAAATATTTGAGGAAAGGACGTCATAAGGTTTAACAGCTAGAATGTACCACATAACCAGATTTCATGAAGCCTGCGCACTAGCTGCATGTCACATGATAAACTGGACACATACGGTGTTCAGATTAATGCTAAAATGCTCAAAGAATGGTCTCATACCGAATGATCAAATAGTCAAACACTTGTGTACATTGATTTTTGTTTTTTTACCTGTTGAAGTTAGTTCTGCATCGTGCATATCATCAGATTTTAATGGCAGTGAAATCAATTTAAGAACATCTGACGTGTTGAAATTGATCAGTGAACATTCAGCCAGTTTGGCCACCTCTGACCTCCTTGGGAGATCATCATACATCCAAGTGTGTCTGAATTTACTGCTCACAGGTAATCTGGTAAAAGGTAATGACGATACTGTGCGTTGTAAACTCGGCATTTTATCAAAGCAGAGCGACGCTCTGAAAACGCTTTAAGGCACTGTGAGACGACACAAAGTCTTAACAGGATGATTAATGACTCATTTTAATGAAGGCAGACAGCCATGTAGGTGAGATTCCAGCAAACCCAAACACTTATATAATGCTGAAAAGGTTTACCCTTCCACAAACAAAGACCCCCCCCCCCCCCCCGTGTCGCCTTCACTGAGCTGTGACAGGGGTGAGGTTGGACTGAGCTGCCGTGCCCTGACAGTCGTGGGACACGCAGGTGAGCTGTGGCGTTGAAGGGCTAGCCGTCGGTCCTCTGTGTTCTTTTACAGGAAGTCCAACGTAATTGTCCTCAAAACATAGCCTTCTTTACGTCGTTACTGGCGATTGAGCAGAGCTGTGGGTGGTCCCTGGCTGTTCGCATGGCAGGCCAGAGCTCCGTCACGCTCCACTCCCACTACTACCGGTCCACATGGTCTCCCATTTGACAGATGAAAGAGACAGCCATACCGCTGAGGCTGTTGGCTCTCGTGTCAACGAGTGGCTCTTTCAGGTCAGGCAAGTAGCTTTTAATTGGCCCCAGTTATCAGAACAGGTTGATGGGAAAAGACACAGTGGGCTCAGCCAGTGGGATCTGAGCCAGGCTTTACCAAAAAGCAAACAACAGAAGTATACATTTGCCCATGGTCCCGTTGTGAATACAATACGTGTGCTAAACTGTCTCCAGTGTAGCTGTATCTACGGTTCAGGTAATACCTCTGATAACGGCCTCTTGCGTAATCAGATAAGAGTGCCGCGTGTCTTTGGGAGAAAAACATCAAACCTTTTCATTTGCATGGATCTCACGTGTGTTCATTTCGTACATTTATATTGATTCAGAGCTTTTGTAAAGGCCCTGTATGGATTTGATGGATCTTACAGGCCAGGCAGGGCTACACTGCTGTGCAGGTGCTGTATGCTCTGATCTGATGTGTAACAAACTGGAACTGGAACTGTGAAAGCCAGCTGTGTGGAGAAGATGTATGCAAATTGATAACAGGCATCAGCTAAGGTGTATTATTGAACTTCCTCTACTGGCAACGATTCAAGCCATAAACTCATCTCTGTCACAAAGGTTTTCTGAATCGGGACCACTGCCCGACCGCCTTATCTGTACAAATTGAGAAAACTTTGTATTTGGAGCCATTACTAGGTTAAAAAGCACAATTATGGGAGAAAGTCTTTGGATTCCTAATGCTTTCATTCCAATTTTCTCCAGAGCTAGATGCCTCCGGATGTTTGTTGCCCTACTCGCAGACCTTACAGGCCGCTTTAGCCTTATTATATTATTTCTTGTCTGCCTCTCTATTTTTTTCCCGGAGTCTGCCCCACATTTTCCCTGTCTGCAACTTACGAAAATCAGTTTGCATTCAAACAAGGTCGCATGAAAATGATGTGCTTTTTATATATGGCGATTGAACACTGAGCCTGGATTCATCACAGTGGGGTGAAACAAAGGACTGAGTCATTTTGTCTACAAACCACATAATCTCACTGTCTGACCTGTCCTCAGGTCTTTGCCGTCTGAATTCCTGGCCTAGTTTCTTCCCTGCGGGCAGTTTGGATATGAAAGTAGCAACCAGATTAAACCACTTAATCTTTCAGACATTTAGTCTCTTGCCTGGATTAGTTTCACTACTCTGAGGACCCCAGTGTGAACCTGTTCTTGCTCATCTCTTCCCTCTTCTTGGATCAAAGGGGGATGCGTTTGGAGTCAGATGTTGGCACCATCTTCGCTGTAAAAAGATGCAGTTTTCCTCCCATCTCTCTTTTTAAGTTTAAAGAGGATTTTCAGTGGCCGCTACAGAAAAGTGCCAGGTTTAACGTAGGCCTGGGGAGAGGGATTGTTTTGGGACCAGCTGTTAAACGACTCCTTCATCCCAGACAAAAAGCTGTGGAAAAAGCCCAGTCTTTCTTTAATGTGCTGCATGAATCTTTTTTTTGTAATGTCTTACTGATGCTTGTCAAATGTCCCGCATGAGGAGGACAGTGAGTACTATTGCTTGGTGCAAAGGGTACAAAGGGTCTTCTTTATGGAAAATGTCAGATAAGCTAACATTGCTGCAGGGCCACAACGTTAGAGAAGCTATTCACTGAGATCGAACCCATGACTGTCAACTGATAAGATCGACTCACTGGGACATTATTCCGCACTTTGAAATGTTTTATTCAACATGAAATTAACACGTTGGAGTTAATATCAGGGTAATGTATTTGTGCATCACGTATCTTGGGATTTTCCGAGAACTGGCTTGTCCTCTTTTATTCATTTATGAGGAAATCTTTATGAGGACATTCTCAACAAAGGGGCTGGGGGCTATATCATTTAGTTGTGGGAAAACATGTCATAACATAATAATTATAAATGCATTTTAATTACATTTCATTGTGTGCATGCTAGTTGCTAAGGTTAGTGTTTCCCTTGCAGTTTGCCATCCACGCTGCACAGCTGGTTATTTTCAGAATAACTCAGAATACAATGTGTGTTTGAGCAATATGGATTTGCATGAAGAAACGGAAACTATGTCACAGAGAAATGCTCCATCCTTGGATGATAACCGCACAGGCTGGCTTGAATTAGCATCTCCACCTGACACAAGCAGATAATGTCCTCTGTGTTTTCTTAGTGTGTGTTTTTGTGCGTGCACGGTCCTTCCTCAGAGCAAAGCTTTGAAAAGGGGAGCTGTCAGGACTGTTTGTGCACTGAGAAGTGATGCCCTACCCATCGAGAGCCAGGCATTTAATCATTTTTTTGTTTTATTTGTTGTGTAGCTTTATGCCAGTATATAGAAGCTACTAAATTCAGAGATGGGGCCAGAGGAAAATTGGCGAGGGGAAACGAAGGTAACCGTTCCACCACACACACTGTTCTCCCTCCTAACCTGAGCTCAGCTTTAACCCCTCCACCTTAAACCTGGTGCACCTTGTCGTTTTGTTTATTTTCGCTCCTCAGCCAGACCCCTTTTCAACTTAAAAAACTCGGGTTTCCGAGTAGTTTCCTGCACAGGTGTGGGGACCTGCCTTTTTTCTGTTCGGCTGTATCTAAATTCCCCTCATCCTTTTTTTTTTCTTCTTCTGTAAGCCCCCCCCAACCCCCCCCCCCACCCTTTCTGTCTCTGGCTCCTCCTTCAGCAGCAGCTGAACAAGGAGCTGACGTTTGACAATCACTGCTTCTGTATTCTCGCGCACACACACATCTAGTGTTGCCTGCACTCGCATTGCTTGGTCAATCTTTACTCTCCCCCCTACACTCTGAATGATTTTTCAGTACTGCCTTGGTATGTGCATCACTTCTGCTTTATTCAGGGTTTGAATCAACTCAATCTGTGCTTATACGACTGATTAATTTGTCTGTCCCCCTGTATTGCCATTAAAGCTGTCTTAAAGCCTTACCATTCGTGCACTTGGTTAATTCCATCCCTATAGTATGCTAATTTGTTAATGCGTCTACTGTAACAGGAAGCAAATGGCAGCTTTACATGATGCAATACAGTTTTCCTCTCAAGACAAATGTGCTGATATGCTCTTACCTCTGGTGTTGTGCCTGGCACTGTGAGCCCGCTTCTGATCCAACTGCTGCCCTGCTCCCGTCTTTCCGTGCGCTAACCATTTGTGTCCTTTTTTTTGTTTGTTTTTGCGCTCTCTGTCTGATTTCCAGGTGAGAATTTTGAGCAGAGTCCACTGCGGAGAACCTTTAAATCCAAAGTCCTCGCACATTACCCAGACAATGTGGAGTGGAATCCCTTTGACCAAGATGCAGTCGGCATGGTATGATTCTGACCTAAGAAAGTCAGATAATTAAGTTATTTTCGCTTTTTTATTGTATTTGTGGATTCAGAATCACACAGGTGGTATCTGCAGCCTGCTGTGTGTTCCTGGTTCCAGTTTGGATTGTTTCTTATTACTTGTTTGTGTTCCCTCACAGCTCTGTATGCCAAAGGGTCTGTCCTTCAGGACGCAGGTGGACTCCAGGGAGCCCCAGTTCCACTCCTATATCATCACCAGAGAGGACGGCTCTCGGACCTACGGCTTCGCCCTCACCTTCTTCGAGGAGGTGACCAGCAAACAGATCTGCAGCGCCATGCAGACTCTCTACCACATGCACAACGCAGAGCAGTACGACATCTTGCACACTCCCACCTCTCCCCCGGGGTCCGAGGACCGGCGAGTCCCCCAGCCCCGTCCCGTGCTCCACGCCGCGCCCGCCATCACCCGCCTGCAGCGTTTCAACTCCTACGACATCAGCCGTGACACCCTGTACGTGTCCAAGTGCATCTGCTTGATAACGCCGATGGCTTTCGCTCAGGGCTGCAGAAAAGTGCTGCAGCAGCTTCACCAGGCCGTCAGCTCCCCCCAGCCCCCACCCCTACCGCTGGAGAGCTACATCTACAACATCCTCTACGAGGTGCCCCTGCCGCCATCCGGGCGCTCCCTCAAGTTTTCCGGCGTCTACGGGCCAATCGTGTGCCAGAGGCCGAGCACCTCGGAGCTGCCCCTCTTTGACTTTGCCATCAGTGAAATGTTTAACCTGCTGGGGGTGGAGAACGTTCTCCAGCTGTTCACGTGTGCCCTACTGGAGATGCAGATCCTGCTCTACTCACAGCGTAAGTCACCCAGCTTCTACTGTTCCACGTTAAGCACCCATCTCCACAAGATTACAAACACGAATGTACTTACTCATTGAAAAAGATGCGCGAGGGTTATATTTAAACCTTATTGTGTTTGGACGCTTAACTTCTTTTTCTGTTGCCTGCTGCACATAACAATAAAGATGGCTTTATTTTACAAGAAGAAAAGGCAGCACAATGCACATTTCTCATTTTGAATCATCATTAAAAGATTAAAAACATGGCCAAAAGAGAAGTTAAACTCCATTTTTTTTGTATTTGTGGAGTGGCAGGACTGGGTCCCCTATCAGTGGGATTATGAGAGTGTGCTGAGGTGCCCAGGATTTCCGGGGGCTGACAGGCTGCTTTGCATGCTCCTTTCACAGAACCCTGGCTCTCTCAAAAAAGCCTCACTCAGCCTTGAGAAGCTTTAACAGTCGTGTCTTTGGCTTAATAATCAGATCGTCACATAATTAAATGTTTATTACTTTCACACTAATTTATCAGGGCTTTTCGGCCAACTACAGTGGTGACACGGTGATTCCTTTGAGCAGATGTAGGATGTTTTCTTTTCCTTTTCAAACAGATTGTAAGGAATCACAAAGATCACGAAAGGTTGTTGGTCTGCTGTGATGACTGGATCCATTACAAAGGCAAAAAAAGCAAATGGTTTACAAATCTGCAGGGGCCGGGGAGAGAAGCTCTTCAGGGAAAGGGGGAGTGGGGGGGCTGTGATGTTGCCAGGCAACCCAGAGAGAGGGAGGCAGTGGCAGTGATGCAGGATGATTATTATTGGTCGGCAGTGACATCATGCTTCTTTTCACCCCCGTGAGGCTCATCACTGCAGAGCATGTGAAGGGTGTTGTGTAAAGTTGAGCCCTGGCGATGTTCCACCAAGAAGAAACGAGAGGCTGTTGAGAAAAGATGCTGCACTCTAAGGGAAAACACAGGGAGGGGGGGGCTGCTCACAAGTACAGAGTGAACGGTGGGCCAAAAATAGAACCAGCATCTATGTGTTTTAACAGGGGGGGGGGTGACATGACTCTCTAGATTAATTTCCATGAAGCGATAAAGGACACCGTCTTTAAAATAATGTCTGCTTCTTCTCCTGTCATTCTCGGACAGGAAGCCCATCATCTGCATGTGTCTGGCTGCACCCTCGCCTTTGTTTCTTAGTGTTGTTTCTGAGGCCTTTTCTCTCTTTTGGTGATGCATGCAGTGTGAAAGTGACAGGACAGCTTAGAGGAGAGGGTGAGATCGGAACTGATGTTGTTCCACATATTTGACAGAGATGGGGAAAGAATGTGCAGTGTTGTGTGTCCAGGCAGAGTGTTTACGGAGCCGTTCTAGTTCTCCGACCATCCACAGCCTGAACTGTGTTTTACAGTTTCCCCACTCAGTCCACCATTAGCATAGTTTCGACAGATGTTAAAAGGCCTCCATTAATTTATCTTTACAGGACTAATTTTTGCTGATTTACCTAGATTATTAATTTTAAAAAGTCATGTCTTGATACCTGATATTTGTTAGAACTTGATATTAAAACGAGTTGTTTATTCTACATCCCTGTAAAAGGTAATTAGTTCATTTTTCAATTGTGAAATCATTAAAGTATTCATCAATCAATGTAACAAAATGTGAAAGTATTCCCTTTTCTGATATTTATCAAAAGTGAGATGTCAAATACTCTGGGATCGTTTTTATTCTGTTCTGCTTCATGATGATTCATGGCTTCAAGTCTTTCCCAAATCTTTTGTCACAGCATGACAAAATGCTGGCTTTGGACCAGCTGATTCAGGACTAAAATATTGAAGGCACGCAACATTTTAAGGAGTTTGTTGTTCCCGTGGCCTGGTTTAAAAGTGGGTGGTTGATTGTTAGTATTCTTGTCCCCATCCTGGGAGAGGAAGCTTGGTTGGTTGGGGGGGGAGTGTAGCTGGGCATGAACCAGCTCATGACCAAATGGAGGAATGGCATTTAATTTGGCACCATAACAGGAGAGGCTGAGCGGCTGCTGAACGCACATTAGGTGTCAACAGGATTGCGCAGGAATGCTGATGAGGGGGACTGGATGCATATTTGTATGTATACCACTTGAGGGAGGTGTGAAACGCTGAACTTGACAGAGCGTTGCCATGGGGTCTGGTGATAAAGGAGCATAATGTTAAACAGGAGACCAGCTGACGGTAGCTGTGCCACTCTTCATCAGTGTCAGGGTCCTACGCCCTTCAGGCAACTTCCTCCTCAAAGGCCAATGTGGCGCCATGTGACCATCGTGCCCTTACAAAGGGATTTTTTAAACCCATTTGTAAATGGGTGGCTTTAACCACTGAAATCATATACTTGGCCTGGGTCATTTTCCTCTGAGAATGGCACATCGTTTGTCATTTGCTGGAAATGTTCAAATATCACTGGAAGTATAAAAGAGAGTCTCCCTGTTTGGTCATTTGACTCATCCATTCACTGACTTTTGTTTGTGCCAAACAGATTATCAGAGGCTGATGACCGTGGCAGAAAGCATCACGGCCCTGATGTTCCCCTTCCAGTGGCAGCATGTGTATGTCCCCATTCTGCCCGCCTCCCTGCTCCACTTCCTGGATGCGCCTGTGCCCTATCTAATGGGCCTGCACTCAAACGGACAGGATGACCGCACCAAGCTGGAGCTGCCACAGGAGGTACAAACCCGCAGTATTGTGTTCCATAGGTCTGCATTAACCAGAAGTTTCCACTTGTGAGGGGAATCCTCATTTTATAGCTTTAGTCATTTTGATTTTAAAAATAAATAGTAAGCAGAAACTTCCATAAAGTGAAGGAAGCCTATATCAAACCTATGACCTTTGTACTTTTTATTTCAGCATTCCGCCTACATCTCCACTTGCTTTTGGTGGTTAATACAGTTGGAGAGCCCGCTTAAAAATAAAAAAACATGCCCATGTATGCTTAGGATTTGTGTGTGTGGGAATTATACTAATGGATTTACATTCGGAACAAATAGGTTATTGATGCCTAACTCATTTGTTTCACCACTGACACAAACCACGGATGGAATTTTTCTTTTCCTCCTCTCAGTCTTCGTCTAGTGGTATTTTGTTGCCTCTTTGTGCTATCTCATTACTCCAGACAATTAGTCTTTTAATATTTAACCTGCACAGGGCCCTCAATGTACAGGGTTCAGGCAGCGTGACATGTCAGCTTGACAATGTTTGTTTAACAGTTGCTTCTCAGTTTGTGAACAGAAGTGTTGACAGTGGGTAAATGTTGAACGTTTCGAGTTAAAACAGGAGGTGGAACACTGGTGGAATGTGCTCTGGCATAAAAAAAAAAAGTGTCCAAAATGATATCATCAGGACTTGTTAAAGCATGTTAGCATCAGTGCTTCCACTACAGATAAAGTTTCTCCTTCAGTGAGCTGAATGCATTACTACTTATTTATTTGGTCCTTTTTCTTTTTCCAGGCTAACTTATGTTTTGTGGACATTGATAATCACTTCATTGAACTGCCGGAGGAGCTGCCCCAGTTTCCCAACAAACTGGAATTCATTCAGGAGATCTCCGAGGTGCTCATGTCCTTTGGCGTCTCTCCAGAGGGAAACATCCACTCTAGCGACAGCCAAGCCAAATACCTTCCGGGCTTCCGCTCTGTCGACATGGTCTCCGACAAGAGAAACGGCAACTTGGCCTCGCCGCTCAACTCCTACCTGCTGAGAGAGAATGAAACGATCGCCAGGCTGCAGGCTCTGGTCAAGAGGACAGGTGTGAGCCTGGAAAAGGTGAGAGATGATGTCATCCCATCAATTAGAACATATAAGCGCTTAATGCATATATGAGCATCTTTCATATAATTACACGTTTGCAAAAAAATAGATTTTAGCCAGCGGCAAATGAATTCAGAGGATTTGCATTTCATCCATCCATCCATTCTCCTCCGCTTATCCGGGGTCGGGTCGCGGGGGCAGCAGCCGGAGCAGGGAAATCCAGACTTCCCTCTCCCTGGCCACTTCGGCCAGCTCCTCCGGGGGGATCCCGAGGCGTTCCCAGGCCAGCCGGGACACATAGTCCCTCCAGCGGGTCCTGGGTCTTCCTCTGGGCCTTCTCCCGGTGGGACGAGCCCGGAACACCTCCCCAGGGAGGCGACCAGGAGGCATCCTGATCAGATGCCCGAGCCACCTCAACTGGCTCCTCTCCACGTGGAGGAGCAGCGGCTCTACTCCGAGCCCCTCCCGGATGGCCGAGCTTCTCACCCTATCTCTAAGGGAGAGCCCAGCCACCCTGCGGAGGAAACTCATTTCGGCCGCTTGTATCCGCGATCTCGTTCTTTCGGTCACTACCCAAAGCTCGTGACCATAGACGAGGGTGGGAACGTAGATCGACCGATAAATTGAGAGCTTCGCCTTTAGGCTCAGCTCTCTCTTCATCACGACAGACCGGTACAGCGCCCGCATTACTGCAGACGCCGCACCGATCCGCCTATCGATCTCACGCTCCCTACCCCCATTCGCAAACAAGACCCCGAGATACTTGAACTCCTCCACTTGGGGAAGGACGTCCGCTCCGACCCGGAGAAGGCACTCTACCCTTTTCCGGTGAGAGACCATGGTCTCGGACTTGGAGGCACTGATCCTCATCCCAGCCGCTTCGCACTCGGCTGCAAACCGCTCCAGTGAGAGCTGTAGGTCCCGACTTGATGGAGCCAACAGGACCACATCATCTGCAAAAAGCAGAGATGCGACCCTAAGGCCACCAAGACTGACACCCTCAACACCTCGGCTGCGCCTAGAAATCCTGTCCATAAAAGTTATGAACAGGACCGGAGACATAGGGCAACCTTGGCGGAGTCCAACTCCCACCGGAAACGAGTCCGACTTACTACCGGCAATGCGAACCAGACTCTGACTCCGGTCGTACAGGGACCGAACAGCCCGTAACAAGGGGCCAGGTACCCCATACTCCCGGAGCACCCCCCACAGGATACCCCGAGGGACACGGTCGAACGCCTTCTCCAAGTCCACAAAACACATGTGGACTGGTTGAGCGAACTCCCATGCACCCTCTAGGACCCCGCTGAGGGTATAGAGCTGGTCCAGCGTTCCACGGCCAGGACGAAAACCACCCTGCTCCTCCTCGATCCGAGGCTCGACTATCCGACGGACCCTCCTCTCCAGAACCGCTGAATAGACCTTCCCAGGGAGGCTTAAGAGTGTGATCCCCCTATAGTTGGAACACACCCTTCGGTCCCCCTTTTTAAATAGGGGGACCACCACCCCAGTCTGCCAATCCAGCGGGACTGCCCCTGATGTCCACGCGATGTTGCAGAGTCGCGTTAGCCAACGCAGCCCCACAACATCCAAAGCCTTAAGGAACTCCGGCCGGATCTCATCCACCCCCGGGGCCTTGCCACCGCGGAGCTTTTTGACTGCCTCGGTGACTTCAGCCCCGGAGATTAGAGATCCAAACTCCGGATCCCCAGGCTCTGCCCCTCCAACGGAGGACGCGCCAGTGGGATTGAGGAGGTCCTCGAAGTACTCCGCCCACCGACCCACAACGTCACGAGTTGAGGTCAACAGCACACCATCCCCACTGTAAACAGTGTTGGTGGGGCACTGCTTCCCCCCCTGAGACGCCGGATGGTGGACCAGAATCGCCTCGAGGCCGTACGGAAGTCTTTTTCCATGGCCTCCCCAAACTCCTCCCACGCCCGGGTTTTTGCCTCGGCGACCACCCGAGCCGCACGTCGCTTGGACTGCCGGTACCCATCGGCTGCCTCCGGAGTCCCACAGGCCAAAAAGGCCCGATAGGACTCCTTCTTCAGCCTGACGGCATCCCTCACCGCCGGTGTCCACCAGCGGGTTCGAGGGTTGCCGCCACGACAGGCACCGACAAATTTGCATTTGTAGAACGCATTTCATTATGGCTGTTAAAAAAAAAAGTAGAGATATTTATGCCTCAGAGAACACATTTTGAGTTTTAAATCTTTAAGTTTTTCTGTTGACACCAAACAATTGTAATAAAAGTCAAATCTAAAACGATATGAATTATGTATTATTTATTATAAAGTTCTTTTTAGTTATCACTTAGAAAAGAAAAATCTGCTAATATTTTATTTATCATATTATTATTTATATTACTATTGAAAATGTTCATTTTATTGTTATTACTGCAGTTAGACAGGTTAAGCAAAAGGGGGAGCCTTCAACCAACAGATGGACACGGGGAGCAGAGGGTGTTCATATTCAGTCTTTTCCATGAAGAGTTTCTTGGACCATTTTGAGCATATTTTCTTTTAATTTTGGGCAGTCATCCTTTAGGTCTTCATCATAATAAATGGAATGTTTACATTGTGTTTGGATGAAGATAGTCTCCATGTGTGCAGTCTAATCAGCTTAAGCACTTAGCTCTCCCTGGACTGATTATCACATCAGCCGCACATAGTTGGCCAGCTCCAAGGTCAAACCCTATGTATAAACATTTTTAAACTTACCGCTGTGACATATTTAAAAGAAGAAAGCAGAAGTTAAAAACACTAAGATTGCACACAGAGACAGGTTGTTGCTCTTACCCCCCCAATGCTGCTCTTTGCCCAGCAGACATGTTGGATAAGGAAAATGTCTTTCAGTTTGTAATGGGTCGTAAATGAAATGACGCATCCTTCACTTCCTTTCCCATGACCCCGCAGCTTCACACAACATGACGTTAACAAAATACGCCTTCCTCTCCCTTCTGTCCATCAGAACTCTTTTTCAAGCTCTTCTTCCGTCCCCTCTGAATAGTTTTCAGTGATGATTTGCCAGCTGCGATGTGGAGCTTTTCCCTCTGTATTAATTCATGTGTGCGCTCCACCAGCTGGAGGTGAGAGAGGACACCAGCAGCAATAAGGATGCTCGGGCCCAGTGTGACGAGGAGGAGCTGAAGATGCACCAGCTCAACATCCAGGTGCGCGAGGTCTTCGCCAACCGCTTCACCCAGATGTTCGCCGACTACGAGGTGTTTGTCATCCAGCCCAGCCACGACAAAGAGTCCTGGTTCACCAACCGAGACCAGATGCAGAACTTCGACAAGGTAGGCCGCTTTAGATACCGCATCAGCGGACTGAGCGCCGCTCTGTGTGTCGGACGACACCCAACACCGCCCGCTAAACCCCTGTCTGCGCCCAGGCCTCCTTCCTGTCCGACCAACCGGAGCCCTACCTGCCCTTCCTGTCCCGTTTCCTGGAGACCCAGATGTTCGCCTCCTTCATCGATAGCAAGATCCTCTGTCACGATGACGAGGAGAAGGAGCACACGCTGAGAGTGTTTGACTCCCGCGTGGACAAGATCCGCATGCTGAACGTCCGCACGCCCACCCTGCGCACCTCCATGTACCAAAAATGCACCAACATCGAGGAAGCAGGTGAGCTGGAAAGAGCAGTCCTGTAAAGTCTGCGGCATTGGGTCGAGCCCCTCTTGTCCACATTTGGAAGTTTAGTTAATGCATTTAAGAACACACCAGGTGATAAAACTGGAGGTGCGTTGTCTTTTGGTAACTGACCCGTGATCGCTGTCCTGTTCACAGACAACCTGATTAAAAAGCGCTTTGAAAAAGCGGATTTTCTCGCAGCTGGACCACATGTCATTGGACTGGAGAATGACAAGACCGAGCATCGTAATATTTGTTTTTGCTGTCTGAGGCATCCGTTAAGTGGGGGGCAGCTCTTAAATTGTGTGCGCTTTGCATTGTTGTGTGCTCTCAGAGAGGTGCAGGTTGTGTGTTTATAACTCAGCTCAAAGCATTTAATGCAGACATCCTTTTTATTAGGAGCTGTGTGTTTTCTCCCTTTGTTTTAAATGGGACATTCCTCTCTGAGCTCCTCTGTGCATTGCACACACAACAGGTTTTGAAGCTTGTTGAATGGGATCTGTTGAACATTATTGGGGCGACCGAAAACTTGAAGCTAGCGGGTGAATGGGTGATGATGAGCTCTATCTAAGGAGCTTTGCTTTTCCAATCTTTTCATGGTATGTTTTTCTTTGTTTATCTGTGTCTGTGGAGTTTCCTTCTTGAGACATGTTTCGTTTATTTCACCTTAGGGATTCTTTTGTTACCATGGCCCAGCCTGTATGTGGGTGTGCCGTTGATGAGGCGTCAGATGTCACTGTCTAAAGTAGCATTTCCAATAACTCTTGGCGTGTTTCTTTGTAGAAAAAGTCTATTCCGGGCTTTTGTTCTGTTGCTTCTTTTGGCTCTGTGGGTGTTTTCGTAGGAAATGCTTCACTTTGTCTTTTTGATTTCAAGATGTTCTCTTTGTTCTGTTGTCGAGCCATAAATTGAATAAACGTAGTCATAATCATTTTATCTTTTAAGCACAATCATGAGTAATCAGAGAATAATTGGCAAATGAGTTTTAAAAAAGGACAAAGATTACACCGCCTGACATCTCTTTTTTTCAGAATACTTGACTAGCATGGATGGCACAGAGGGTAGGACAACATGTAGATGCCATGAATGGGGCATTAATTGTCATGTCAATATTTAGATTTTGCCCAAACCCTAACATGACATTTAAAAGATTGTTTTTTTTTATAGACCAGAAAAGATGAATCAATCTTTTGCTCTCCACGACAGAGAAAGCCATCGAGATGAGAGTGCTAAAGATCGACCACACCGCCCTGCACCCCCACCTGCTGGACATGAAAATTGGTCAGGGGCGCTACGAGCAGGGCTTCTTCCCTCGACTGCAGTCCGATGTGCTCTCCACTGGACCCACCAGCAACAAGTGAATACATCACGTTACAGTGACCTATGCGTCCATTTGGCGTTGGCGGTGTTTAACTTGAGCTTGAAGCTGATCAAAGGTTCACTGCTTTCTGCTACAGATGGGCGAAGAGAAGTGCTCCTGCTCAGTGGAGGAGGAGGGATCGACAGAAGCAACACACGGAGCATCTTTACTTAGACAATGACCAGAGGGAGGTGAGAGATTCTTCTTCTTGCGTCTCATTGGTCGGCCTGAGCTTTGTTGTTGCTGCTCATTTTGTCTCTGCCCCTTTATTTATTTGCTTCATTATGACTTTTGCTTTACTTTTTTTCTTCTTATCCACTGTCCCACCCTCTCTCACACGTCTGGTCTCTTTTGTTCTTATTTTATTTGTCTGTGTTTCTCTGCCTTTCTTTGACTCATGCCCACACACTCTCAGCATGTAGAGTGTTTGTTTCCGGAGCTGCAGCTCCTGCTGTTTCTTGACTACTACTGGACTCTGCAGTCCTTCAAGCCCTGTCTAAAGTCGGTGACTGTGGACGTGGTATGTGCTGGTAGACCACAGATCACATGACCTGTTCACACATGTGGTCTTTACCTCCCCTCTGCCCCTCAACCTTCAGCAGCTGAGCTTTGGCTGATGATCCAGACAGATATCGGTTTGGCTTAATGAACTCTGCAGCCGGTCTTAGAGGTTGTGATTGCCATTTCCAGTTTTGCTGAGCAAGTAATTGCTCGGTCAGGTTTAGTCTTTATTCTGACTTGTTCAGAATAAAGGTTGAGGGCAGTGTAGACTGTAAAACGAACTGTGACCAAACACTGGCATTTCTGGTATCTCAGCTCTGAGGCGTCAGCACCTGTAGTTAGACTCCCCTACAAATGAGCCTCTTTCTCCAACAGAACCTCTCCTACATTTGCTGATTGAATTTTTTTATATATGTTTTTATCAGAAGTACATCCAGGAAGCCAGAAACTTGGGAACAACCATCAGACAGCCTAAACTGTCCAACCTGTCACCATCTGTGATTGCTCAGACAAATTGGAAGTTTGTTGAAGGATTGCTGAAGGAGTGCAGGAACAAGGTTGGTGTTTGACTTTCCTCATTATTTTTTGGCAAGCGGGCTTTATAATGCCTATTTAATGAGTGTCTAAGGCTAATGTGTGTAAATGTAAGAACGTTGCTAAGAACAAAAGGGAATGAATTAAACAGTTATTACTGAACATTATAAGTATCCATTTCATGGAACATAAAACTAAAATATTTCTATATTTCTGCTGCTCAAAAATGTGTTTCAGAGCTCTGAAGAGAGCAGAGGGCAAATTAAATCTCAAGTGTTTTTATTTATCTGGAGCATTAAAAGTGCGTGCTTGTTTTTTTTGTTTTTTTTATCCCTGCAGACAAAGCGTATGTTGGTGGAGAAGATGGGTCGAGAGGCGGTGGAGTTGGGTCACGGAGAGGTTAGCATTACCGGGGTGGAGGAGAACACCCTGATCGCCAGCCTCTGTGACCTGCTGGAGAGGATCTGGAGCCACGGCCTGCAGGTCAAACAGGTCAGGAAAAAGCTAGCTGCTTATCCGGATCTGTTGTCACGCTGCACCCAATCAAACCCAACAGCTGGATTACGCGGGTCACTCTCAGAGCGAATAATGGCACTGCTGCGTGTGTTTTCTCTGTCAGGGTAAATCTGCTTTGTGGTCCCACCTGCTCCACTACCAGGATAGCAAAGAGAAGAAGAGCGCAACCCCAGGAGGTTTGGGACCTCCAGGTAAAGGCTTATTTCATTTCACAGAGTGATGTCCATCATTTCACTGATTGGTTGCACTGACTTTGCCTCTGTTTCTTTGACTTAATTTTTTCTTTATTAGGCTTCATCCAGGACACTGAGAGACGGAAGTCGGATGGTGGTGGATCAGCCATGCCCCCCCTTAGAATTTCCCTGATTCAGGATATGAGGTCAGAGAGACGTCACTGAAAGAATAATGGATGCTCACTGTGTGTTTCTATATTTGTCAACATCTGACTAATGTATGTTAGGATAATAGCGCCCCCTTGTGGCAGGTATTCGTTTCAACTATTCAAAATATCATAGAAACATCTCCCTGTGATAAGTAATTAGCTGTGTGGATCACTGGTTCACAGATTTGAAAGACACAATGAAACAAATTACTTAGCAGCTGAAATGTATTTTAGTGGAAACAATCTTTACTTTGGGTTTCTATGATTTAAAAAAATAGCCTTTTTTAAACTGTTGCAGTATTATGAGACTGTTGTGTAAACTCTGTCATAAAACATGTTTCCAGAGAGCAAATATTAAATTTAGTAAATTATTTAGTAAATCACTTTTTTATGTATCATAAACTATATATCTTTGATTAATGCTTTCAATTAATTATGTGATATTATTATTATTAGTATTCAAAGATTAATGGAGCAACACAATGCAATAAAACAAAAAAGCAAATTAGCCTTAAAACAAATAGCTAGTATGGTGCATAAGTAAACAATGTAAATATATATACACACGCAAATTTACAATGAAATTATTACTATCATTATTGTAAACCTTCAGGAAAAGCTTTTCAGATGACATACTCTGAGAGTCTTGGTCACTCCTTGGTGATGGAGGAGGGTAGAAAAAGGCTTAAATTAGCAGTTTTTTGTATCACTTTCACCCTGTTCAGGACCAACCGGGAGCTGACTGAGTAGACTGACTAGGGTGTGTTTTTATTTGCTAAGCAATTAATCTTATTTGCCCTCACAAGTCGTGTGGTGCACCTCCATGCAGTAGCACCTGTGTGTGAGTGTGTGTGTTTGCGCGTGATGAGAGCCCTTACTGTCAAGTTACCCCCTACAATCAGGGCGTAAAGAAGACGTTGAGTGGGACTGTGTGTAGCACCATGTTACTTCCAGCCTAATTACCAGACCCCCCCCCCATCCTCCAACCACACCGACCGAGAAGAAAGAAGTGTGGTGGCATGGGGGCTCTCCTCTGATGGCACGATCAAAAACATGGGGTTTCAGACATCAGCTTCCCCTACATGACATAATTAGTTTAAAGGAACTATAACGGGGGGTTACTCTGGGTGGTGATAAAAGAGCAAAAAACAACTGCACAGAAAGTAGATGCTTGCTGCCGTTGCCATGGAGATAACAAGCCTAGAAATCTGGGTTACTCGGTCTGAGCGAGGGAGGAGACAGGGAGGGGGGAGGGATATGTTTGGAGTATGGCACAGGTGGAGTGGAAGGGAATGTGTCTGGACATCAGTGACATGATAGTGGCTCGGAGCGATGACAGAGGACCAACAGGCTCACTCAGGGAGTCGGCTGTAGTTAAAACGCCACACTGAGACCAAAACAGGATGCTGTTGTACTCAGACAGTAAAAGTAATTAAGTTGCAGAGGATCACCGCATCGCCTAAAGCTTTGATCTCCCGTGTTATTAGATTTACATAGAATCTCTGTATGAGATTTATCGGCCAACATTATCCTCAATGCTTGTGGGAATTGAGAATTGTTTTGGTTTGCGCTACTATTTGCATTTGTGAAAACTAGACATCTCTTGCAGACACATTCAGAATATAAGTGAGATCAAGACGGACGTGGGTAAAGCCAGAGCCTGGGTTCGCCTCTCCATGGAGAAGAAGCTTCTTTCCAGGCACTTGAAGCAGCTGCTCTCCGACCACGAGCTTACAAGGTGAGCAGAGCAGGGCGCTAACTCTGTAACACCGTGTGCTGCGCCCGTCGTCTTTTCCCCCTATCAGCTCTTTTTCTTTTCACTTTATTTCTCTGCTTGTGCAGGAATGTCAGTCTTATATGAAATGTAGACTATAAAGGCTCTATTCTAGACATTCATAATAGAGTGTACCTTGTCTTAAATTGCAAAGCACCACATTGGAGTCCACACATCATAAATAATCTACAACCTTGTTCATAATTGATTTCTGAGCGATAAAATGGTCTGAGGGGGTGGGGATTCTGTCTGGGTTTATGACCTCAGCGTTACGACTTCTACTAAACAAAGTGCACTTTGTTGTCCATTTCCTGCTGGTGCAGCTCATCTGGTCTTCGTATATAACAAAAATAATCAAATTTTTCAGGTATACTTCAGGTGGTTTAATATTCTTAAATATTCTGTTTTCAGAAAACTTTACAAGCGCTATGCCTTTCTGCGCTGTGATGATGAGAAGGAGCAGTTCCTTTACCACCTCCTGTCCTTTAATGCCGTGGATTACTTCTGTTTCACCAACGTCTTCACGACCATCAGTGAGTTATGTTTCAATGTCGGTCTGACCACGCCGCCCCTGGCTCAAGATTTTCCTCACATTCTGACACTTCTTTTCTCTGTGTTTTCTCAGTGATCCCCTATCATGTAGTAGCTGTTCCCAGTAAGAAGTTGGGTGGCTCCATGTTCACAGCCAATCCCTGGGTTTGTGTTTCCGGTGAGCTGGCAGAGACCGGAGTCCTGCAGGTGCCCAGGAACACTCTAGAGATCACTTTTGAGGTTTGTGTTGATTCTCTTCTGAAGCACAGTTCCACTGTATCATTGTCGTTATCATTTTTGGCGATAAGCACAATTAAAAATCCACGATTCAGTCTTTGCATCTTTCCACAGGAAGAATTTCAGACACGTTTTTAGAGCTTTTTCTGATCCCCAAACACAGACAAATCAGAGCACAGCACCAGAGGCCATGTCTTCTGTATCATTACAATGTAACAGCACAAGAAACAGGACAAGAAAAGTGGGGGGGGTTTATTGTAGTGATGGCAACATGACAACAAGGTGCATGGACCAGGAAGTGTTCACAAACACGTGGACCTGACATTATTTTGGTTTGTGTGTTTGACATCAATATGGTTCCCTCTTTCTCAGTGCCAGAACCTGGGCAAGCTCACCACAGTGCAGATAGGTCACGATAACAGCGGACTCTACGCAAAGTGGCTTGTGGAGTGTGTCATGGTCCGCAACGAGATCACAGGACACACCTACAAGTAAGGCAGGCCCACGGGGTAAATTAGCATTGTCTTTTGACTGAATAATTATCTGAAAAATATTAACTCTGTGTGCGTCAATACAGGTTTCCATGTGGACGGTGGCTGGGGAAGGGTGTGGATGATGGTAGCCTAGAGAGGATACTGGTGGGAGAGCTGATGACCCCCACCTCTGAGAATGACGAAAGAATGTGCCGCACGCCACCGATGCAGCAATCTCCTGGGATGATGAGAAGATTCGTAACCATCTCTCCGAGCAGCAAACCAAGTCAGTTTCTCATCCACACAGCTCTTTGTCATCCGTTTTGTCAACTTCAAATTCAAGCATTTCCGTAAATACCTGCACAAAAACAATGAACGCATGAATTAGAAAACACAATGGCAAATAGAGAAAACCTGTTTGGGGTTTTTCCTCTCTCATGTCATCCTCTTTTTTTTCCTTTTTTAATCTCATCCAGAGTTAAACACAGGTCAGATCCAGGAGGGAGTGGGAGAGGCTATCAACGGGATTGTGAAGCACTTCCACAAGCCCGAGAAGGAGGTGAGAGACGGCAGTCTAGACAGGCCCAAACATGCCGCTCTATTATTCATCACGAAGCTGTGGGCTTTGGTGGCCTCAAAGTCCCTCAGAAACAGAGCACCATGTTCAGTTTGAAAGAAAGAGAATTCAGTCTTGAAGACTGACTTTCCTTTAATATTCTATCTGGCTAGAGAGGATGCCTGTTTTCCTCCTCTCCTCAGTGGATTAATATGAAATATCAATACTGATAATTATGGCATACTATGCAGGATGAGAGATGTCTATAGTTAAAAGGAGATGCCCATGAAGGATTACTTTACTTCTTTGTAACTTAACTGATGATTACAGGCTTTGGGAGTGATTCATTTTAGCTAAAGTACAAAGGATTTTCCGGGGAAATCCCTCTGACTTCAGCTCTGCCCCGTTTACAGACCTACAGAACAATAAAGCAGGCCGTCAAAAATGAAAGATTATACAGTGCAACTTACTGCATCTTTTTCTGACCGTGTGCATTCACACAGCCATGAGTATTATGTGTAGTGTTCCTGTCATATTGCACACCCCTGTTGTTGGGTTGTTTTGCATTTGAGTTTTTACCCTCACAAGGCTGTAAATGAGTTCACAGGATAAAATAATGACTCAGGATACATCTGCCATGCATTTATCATTCGGAAGAAAAGGGTAGCTTTGAGTTTAGTTTTACAAAAATGTAATCAGTTTCCATTTGTGCCCATCACAGAGAGGCAGCCTTACCCTTCTCCTCTGCGGAGAGTACGGCCTCGTCTGGGCTCTGGAGCAAGTTTTCCAGCACGGCTTTAAGTCACCTCGGCTCTTCAAAAATGTCTTCATCTGGGACTTTTTAGGTAAGAACAATATAAAGATTTATAAACTGAACAATTCCAATGACATAAAACAACAAAAGAGAAAACATAATTTATGGACACAACTAAACTAACTAAATTTAAAATAAAAAAAAACAGCACAGTACCACAGCCCAAGATGAAGATATGCCTAAAAAACAGAAAAATTATGACAACCTTGCTTTTTAACAGAAAAGGCACAAGTTTACTTCGAAAGTGCCGAGCAGCGGGAGGTGACTCCTGATGAAAACTGGCAAACCAGAGTGCACCACTTCGGCCGCTTCATGCGTGCCATCAACAGCACGCCCAGGAACATCGGCAAGGACGGAAAGTTCCAGATGCTCGTCTGTCTGGGTGCAAGGTAGGCAGGCAGCACTCAGCCATACCCTCACAGGTCACAGAAGTGATGGACGCTGTGAACAAACCCCAGTGGATACGCTGAGGTTTAGTCATATGGGTAAAGTGTAACTCAGTGGTAACAGTGTGGCCCTGGTGTCTTTGACTAACGCAGTAAAGCAAGTCTGATTATTGTTTTGTTTTTTATTTACAGTATCATTTTTTCTATGTTCTATCAAACAAAAAAATATTTTAATATGGACTAAGGTGGAGGTGCTTCGTTGACCCGTGTGTTTCTGTTTCTTCCTCTCTCTCAGGGACCATTTGCTGCATCACTGGATCGCGTTGCTCGCAGATTGCCCAATCACAACTCAAATGTACGAGGACACGGCACTAATTAAAGACCGCTCACTGGTAAATTCTCTGATCCGCGTGCTACAGACTCTGCAGGAGTTTAACATCACCCTGGAGGCTTCACTTGTCAAAGGTGTTGGTATTTAAACCAAACCTCTTTCCACCAGTCGTACCTGAACATGAAGATCACTGGGGACCACTAAGAGCAACTGAAGTTTTATATATCAGAAATAGACTTGAACAAAGGACATTTTCTGGCTTGTACTAAAGCTACTGTCACATTTTGCCATATATTGAGTGCAATGAGCCTTTCCAGATGTGTTGTTATTTTTATCCTCAAGGTTACCATTCGATGGTGAAAATATGTTTTCTATTATGAACCATGATTTTCACATTATTGATGATGATCTTATGCTATAATGTTTTACTGAAAGCTAAATATTTTCATTGCTATTGTGAACTGCTGATAACAGCTATATTTAAGGGAAAGTGAGGAATAAAAGTGTTAATATATTTTCAGATAAAACAGTATTATTTTGTTAAATCAGTCGAGTTGCTTGCTCTGGTGTCAACTCCAGTCTCAATGTCATAACGCAGAGCTTAAAGCAAATGATGTAGAAGTATGCTTTATAAGTATGTGTATGGCAGGGAGGCTTGTGGAGTGGAAGAAGACACACCTACATAGGAATAAAAATGCTGATTAGTTTTGGCCTTTTTCCTGACAGAAGTACATGTATGCAAACCTTTTACATGGAATAACTTCAGTAGAGAAAGCGGTCCCTCTTGCATGATATGACATGACTATGTGGCTCAAACCTGGATCCAGTGATGGACAGTATATTCAGTTGGATAAAGGGAAAATGCACCAAGTCTTGTGTTCTGGACACAAGTGCTCCTAGAGATGCTCCACCCAGCTTTCTTTGCAAAGTGGATCACAGTGACAGCCTTTGTGTAAATAACTTTCAACCAGCCCTTACCGTCAATCCAGTCCTTACACTACATGGACCCCGTTTTCTGAACTAAAAACAATGTGATGATCGGAGTTGACTTTGTGCATTGAATTTTCACAGATTATCATGTGACGAGCTTAAAAGACTTTGCCCCCACTCTCCTGATTTATTTTGCCATGATTGTTTCTTGCTATGCAATACCCCCAAGATGAAATTGAAAATAACTGGACCGTTCTCCATTTCATACATTAAACATAACAGCACAGAATTGGAAATTTGATAGGTGATGGGCTTATTTTCTGTGCCAACAACAACTGGGACAACTGTGTGTTACTCATCTGTGTACGGCCCCGTGCCCCACAGGAGCATCTTGGGAGATCTATATTTTTCTTTTCCAGTACAGTTGTAAATTTATCAATATAGATGTGTAATGTAGTGTTTACTAGGTGAGCAACAGTGTACAGTGTAAAAATATATTAAAGAATAAAGCATCTGAAATGCATTCAGTTACACAGTACTTTCTTCTCTTTAGACTACCAGTTCCTCACAACAGATGTACAGAGAAAAAAAGGAAACTCTTTTGGAGATTAATTCATTTCACTTAAATAGGAATAAGTCCAGATTGAATCATGACTAGTTTAGATTGAATGTAAACTGAATATCTGGCTGCAAGAATGTTCTTAAAGCTGTTTTAGGATTTAAAGGAAATGTTCTCAGTTTTTAAAGCACCTAAGTGATTAAATCTCCATTTTTAGATCCATTGTAAATTAAATACATTTTGTAGGGCTGTAGTTTATATCACAATTGGACTTTGACAAAACTTTCGGCAGGATATTTTAACATTTAATGTAAAACTACAATACCTGCTTGTTTCGCCACAATTATTCAGTGTTAATATGTTTTAAAATAAAAGGTCTCATAATATATTGCTGGTTTACCTAAAATGGCGTTAACAACTGTTTTCACATATTTTATCACCAAACGAGTTTTCCCCCGCTTCAGCTGAGAACATGTAAACAAACGCTTTCGCGCCATGTCAAGTAGCTGTTTTTCTTTGAAGCCCATGGCCAGGTGGTTTATGGGATTTTGAGTAAAAAGGGAGGCCGTTTGCAACTGATGGCGGCACTGCAGTTTCCCGCTCAGTCACTACGCCTCCCATCATTCATTTCCTTTGAGGAGTGCAATACGGCAATGGTGATTGGTTGAAACCAGGTTCAAACCCAACGGCTGCACTCCTTATATGGTCAAGGCACGCTTACCCGTTCATTCCGGCTTTTTATGCAAATCATATTCTAATGGACAGCTGTATGCAGTAGTAGTAAGAGCATGCGCAGTGCGAGAGAAGAGGACGGCGAAGATTCAAAGTTTTTGTTCAGTAAGTACACTGTTATTTCCTTTGTACAAAATCTACGTTTATTTGAATTTTACCGACTTTTCCCCCCTGTGGTTAACTGTCATTATGTTGAATGGTTATATGTTGACGTGTACGATTCATGCCTGTGTAAGTTAAATGTACAAAGACTTACCGTCTCGACAATGGGATAACGTGGAAGTGAACGAGAGCGTGGCGTGGTACTGGTTGGAGCGTTGGCTAGCATTCATGCTAACAGCTAACAACAATGAGCCATATTTGGCGCAATAGCGGGTAAAGTTTGAATTTAAAGGCATGGATGTGCTCTCCGCAACTTTATGTGTCTTATTAAAAAAACAAAACATTTGTGATACGGGTCTAACTGATTGTCGAAGTCGTGAGTATTTAGGCACGTACTACTGCACGAATCGCTTGGTAGCTTTTTGTTTCTTGACTTCAGAAAGCGCTGCTGCCCGCTTTTTGTTTCGGGTATTGACCTCAAACAAGTCTACGATGTAACAGCGTCGCGGAACGAATTTCTTCCGTGTGACTGCATATTTATGTTTGTCTTCTTTCACATGAGCTTATCTTTGTTTATAAAAGCCACATTGGCGATAGTTACCGAAAGTAAAGCGATACTTGATTAGTGGGTGTAATGTTGCTGAGACCGTCCTTTCCGCGAAGATATGTAAAACTTTTCATTTTCATCTAGTTTCTTTGTCGATCTGGTCCCAAAGTTTTTTTTCGTTGTATTTTTTTGTGTTTGTGTCTAGCAACACGTTCTGTTTCACACTCTTGCACTGTTAGTGTGGAGTCAGTGTTTTCGGTTCGTGGATACTTTTTGGTTCTGTGACTTGGCTTTAAATTCCCGAAGAAGCTTTAATGCACATTTCCCAATTTACGTTATCTGATCCAGATGCGTGTGCAAATTTAATCGCGTTCAGATATTTAAAATGTGAGTGCTTTTTTGGATGTGTAGTATTTGTGGGGCGAATAGTATCTTGTGTGCGTGTAGGGACCGCCCCCTTTTAGGAGTAGAAAGCACAGACATCCATGGTGCTATTCACTGGGACCGGGACGACTACCAACCGTGTGTTCTTGCTTTGATTGTAGGAATTTTTCCTATTTGCCACACTGATCTAGAGGAAAGAGTATGTTTGGCTTTCATAAGTCAAAGATCTACCGGAGTAATGACGGCTGTTGCATCTGCAAAACCAAGTCCTCCAGCTCACGCTTCACGGACAGCAGCCGTTATGAGGAGACGTTCAGGCTGTGTTTTGGGTAAAAAAAAACTACTACTTTTTTACTTGAGTTGTGTGTGTTTGTTTCATGAGTGCGTTGTGGATAATAAAATAAAATGTCTATATAGTTATATAGTAAGTGAAGGTGTTCATGAGATGTCCTGCTTATCTGTCCCATTGATTTTTTTAAAGGCTGTCTGAGGACCGTGTTGGAGACATTTGCAATGCATGCGTGTTACTGGTGAAAAGGTGGAAGAAACTGCCCCATGGCTCCAAGAAGAACTGGAATCACGTAAGTCTGAAGTTCTCTTCAGTCTGTTTTTGTCGTGTGGTGAGTTTAAAAGCTGACACAATTCACCTGCCGTCTTTAGGTGGTGGATGCCAGAGCTGGTCCAGGTTTTAAGGTGACTAAACCCAAGAAGATCAAGAACAGCGATGGGAAGAAGAAAAGCAAGCTGAAGAAGCTTCACAAGTTAAAGAGACAAAGTAGGTAGCCCTGAGAATGTGAATTGCCAACTGATGAGTTTGGACAGATTTCTTTATATTAAAAAAAAATCTGTACTTTAAGCGAAATTGCATAGAATGGCAATTTTGCTCACTTATATCGCAAATCTGACATCAATATCAGTTTAGTCTGGATGAACTGCCTCATTTAATGAGTGCAGCGACATCTTGTGGCTTTTTGGAACATTGCAAGCAATTGCCGCAGTTCAAACTACAACAAATGGCCAGCATTGAGAAAAGGGATTATTTTGCACCTTCACTGGTTATTATCTGCCATTCTATTAAAGTTTTTCTGATTCTGATTTCTGACATTCATTGATGTGACACACTTCATCAGTTCGAAAACTAAAGATTTTCAGGTACAGCTACTCTAATCCTGAATGTGATGGTGTGAAACTGTTGCTTTTACATAGGTTCACAGGCATTTCTTAAAAGCAAATGAATGAAGTAAATGTCCGGGTAGGGCTGACGTGTTTCCTTTCTTTCCAAGCAGACTCTGATGCTCACAGCACAACTTCCAGCGTGTCTCCCGCCCAGTCTCCAAGTTACAGCAACCACTCGGACGATGGCTCAGATATAGAGTCCAAACAAAGGCGCTCGACCCCCTCCATCTTCTCCTTCCTGGACCGTTCATACTGGAAAAGGCAAGACACAATTTAACATATAAAACAGATTAGGGCAGTCGTCTTGGTAGTATGGTCTAACTCAAGTTTTCTTTCTTTTTTCCTTTTAGGCAAAAGGTGTGCTGTGGGATTGTCTACAAAGGTCGTTTTGGAGAGGTGATTATTGATCCCCGGCTTTTTAAGCCCTGCTGCAGTTCCAAAAATCCGAAGGCGCTGACACCCACACAAGTGGCCACACACTTGCCAGACGCGCTTCCTCCACAGACTCCCGTTGACATAAAAGAAACCTGGTGAATGCTTTTGTTGAATCCTCCTGTGGGGTTATCCATGGCATCCACCTGGATTTGTCTCCAGTGGCAGACCTCATTTCCACTCGCTGTTAGATCAGTTAGTTAGATATTTGTCTACGTAATATTCCTTTTTTTTTTTTTTTTTCATGGGTTTTTTTTTTTTTTTTTTTTACATGGGTATTTTTTAAACTTTTGTATAGAGCTGAGTTCTTTGTTTCATTAAAAAAACACTTTCGGGCATTAGTGTTATTTATAGGATGAGGAGACAAATTTTGTAAAAATTAAGTTTTTGATTATGAATTTCTTTAGGTTATTTTTGTACCATGTCAACAGATTTTTGTAAATATTTTTTTATTTTCTTTGTGGCATATCTGGACTGCTTGTTATTATTCTTATTTTTTTATATATAATTTGTCAAACTGTAAGTGTGCATATGACAGACACCAACTATGTCTGATACCAGCATTTGTGTGTACGTTAAAGTTTGTTGTATGTTGCTTTTTTCCCCAAGTTCTTTTTCTAAAAAACGTTGTTTTCCAAGTGCACAAATGACTTAGTTTTTCTAACACCAGGGATCAGTAGCACATCAATCCTTCATACATGTCATGATCTTTAAATAATATGTATGTAGAAAACACATTATTCCTCAAACATGCACAGTTAAGTGTACCACGTGCACATTGACATGAGTAGATGATTAGAACACGCATGCAGTATGCCCCCTTCCTTTTGGAATGGCAAAAGGGACTTATTTCTTTTGTACAGTCTCCAATGAAATAATATTGCATGTTGAAAAGCATTTTCCAAATAGAATTTGTAAATTCAGTGTTTTGGCTCATGGTATATCCAAATGGGGGCAGGGGAGGAAAGTAATTCAAGAGCAGCAAACCACTACATCTTAAAGGTGCTGGAAACGCTAAACCAGTTTGTTCACACATTCACGTCTTATTTCTGAGCAGGTGAAGACCATGGGTGAAAGTAGAGGCTGGGTTGCAGCACCAGCGAGCTCCAACATCCATGGTCCATTAGATCACTGTCAGAAGCTGGAGACAAAAATAGTGTGTTATAATTACCCTGCATTTTAGTCAGAAAAATGCTTTTGGAGTATTTGATTAATCCTGGTTGTGATTTATCTTTAAAAGCAATTGTCAAAGGTTCAAGCTATGCAGACATTATGAATGTGAGAAATACTGTGGGGAGTTCTGTCACTTTTGCTATTTTAGTGTTTAGTGATGGATCCTTATTTAACCAAATTGGCTTGTGAAAAGCATCCATTATTTCAGCAATAATATAATCTCATAAGTCATTGCCAAGGAATTCTCTTGTATGTTTTGTTTAAAAAAAAATAATGTTGATTATTGCACAGTTATTCCTATGGTGCATTCTGTTTCAAATCAATACTGCAGTGGCGGAAACGGTTGTTTGTTTTTTGTTTGCTTGTTTTGTTTATGTTTTATAACCAAGCTCGGACTAAATGAATCAACAGGCATTGCTCTGTAAAGTTGCATAATATATGTACATTTTTCTGCGGCAGGGTAGTTAAATACTGAACGTTTTTATTTTTATTAAAAGGAGATATGCTGCTTCCTTTTAAGCTGGAAAATAAGCTTGTTTTTTGTTCTTAGGGAGTTGCCATAATATTGCGAGGTACATTTTGGGATGTAAGGTGTGCCTTAATGAATTACGTGACCTTTCCATGATGATATGTTGTAATTTATATTTATTTATTACACAGCATTTTTAAACTGACATTTTGAGATAACTGGTGTCAACATTTTTAAAAAAGTCCTTTTTTTATTTGTGCACTTCATTTGAACATGCAATGTTTGTTTTTGTACGCTTTTTTGTATACTGTACCACAAAGTAGATCTGTATAATAAACTGAAATAGAAAGAAACACTGATAGGCTTGTAGTATTTACTTTAACCGACTGGTGGCGCCCGAGGGCTTTGGAACAGACACATGACCCACAAAGCGCTGCAAATTGAACATTGTTTTTGCTAAAGTAGTTTAGTTCTCTTCTCATACCTGTCGCTGTTCTGTTACCCAGGCAACGTGTATAAATACATTTTAAGTATGCTTTACATCATGAGAGATACGAATATAGTTTTTGAAAGGATTTTTGAGCAAATTTTTGGCAGGGTAATATATTATCAAACTCACAAAAAGCACATTCTCGTGTTTGACGACAAGCTGGTCCGTTGAAAATTAAAGCGTATTCTTGTGTTGCCTGGCAACCATATTGTTTAGCTAACGGTTCTTTTTTTTTCGAGCTCGTCATTTAAGTAGCTGCGTAGTCTGTATTTTTTTGTATCACGGAAATGTGCGTCGCTAAACCTGACACAACTAACCTTGATCAACCGCGATATTGCCGTTTTAGTTTTAAAAATGTCATGTTGACAAAAGAGCTTCCGAGCTTAGCTGTCAAATTAAAAGCTAGCTTAACAGTGTTTTGTCATTGCTTCCGGTTATTCATTAACCGCTCCCCCAACACACACGCACGCACGCACACACAACCACGCGCACGCTCTCATTCTCGCTCTCTTTCAGTCACTCACTCTTTTCTCTTTTCAAAGCCCGTTGTGAAGCAGATTGACAGGCTAGAATGAAAATGAGGCGGACGCTCGGTCACGACTTCAGTGCGTACCCGTCCTTTTGAGAAGACCTCTAAACTTGGATCATGGGAGCTATTTGGGCTGCAAGGGACTTTTGTTTGTTTTTGCTCTTGTTAAATAGTCGCCAAAGCGTTGCGCTTCCAGAGATTCGAGGTGGGACTTTAGTCAGTGTGCATGTGTTTGTGTTGTGTTTTCCAGTCGTGGGGAATGCTGCTTTACGCACGCTTTTAGGAGTGCGCTCTTGTTCCACCAACGAGGATTTTTACATTTTCTTCTAGCTGCAAAACCCGTTTCTTGTCTATATTAAGTGTTGCTGTACCCTTTTATGTAGATACACCTTAATGACCAAGCTTTGAAAGTTAGTTTTGACCAGAGAGTTTTCCAGTTGCCTTTTGTTACCTGTTACTTAATATTGTTAGTCATTTTCCCACCTATTGCGTAAGATTTCTATACATACATATATACACATGCGCATATTTACATGTGTATATGTATATATAGATGTAGATGTTTCTGTTATATGTCATTATATGTGTATTTTCTTTTCTTATGCCTTAGTAAAACTAAGTTATGCACATATGGATTTTAGCAGATCCGTGTGCAGAGGGAAGTGATGGCTGTCACATTGATGCTATTTGTCAGACTACCCAAGGCTCATACAAGTGCACATGCAAAGCGGGCTTTAAAGGAGATGGAAAACACTGCGAAGGTAATGTTTTTTTTTTCTTGTTTAGCTGTTGCCAAAGGCAGGGGAAGGAAAGAGCTTGGATGTTTAGCCGCACCTTTGAGCAGAGCAAATGTCATGAACCACATGTAACATTCTTTTACCTATGTTTGGATATAGTTTGTTTATATTTGTTTTTTCTACACTGGTGCAATGCATTCTGTTGTTGCTGTTTAAAGACTAAGAAATTGTGCCTTTAAACATTTTCAGCCTGCCATGAACATCTAATAATGTGGTGTTTACTTGTCAGATATTGATGAGTGTGACCTGGAGTACAATGGAGGTTGTGTGCACGAGTGCAATAATATCCCAGGCAATTATCGATGCACTTGCTATGATGGATTCAATCTGGCGCACGACGGACATAACTGTCTGGGTAAGAAAACCACAAAGAGAATCATGATGTGTGACAAACAGCTTGAACCCTCATCCTGATTCTGAGGACTGTGTGTTTGAGGGGGCTGTGTGTGAAGTTTCTCACACTCATTTAAAGAGCATTATTGACTCGTGTGGTGTTTATAACAGAGCAAAAGAGACATGTTTGATTGATGTGAGTGAAAAGCTTGTTTGTGGTGATAACAGACACTTTGCCGAGTTTTGTAAACTTCTTTTTAATGCGCTGATCCCTCTGTCATTTAGATGTGGATGAATGCAAGTTCAACAATGGTGGATGCCAGCACACTTGTGTCAACACCATGGGCAGCTACGAGTGCCGCTGCAAAGAGGGCTTCTTCCTCAGCGACAACCAGCACACATGCATCCACCGCTCCGTGGGTGAGTCTACGGTGTCTCCTTTTGGTTTTCCTCTGAGCTCATGTGGTTGCTGATATGTCCTAGTCGTATTGAACCATGAAGAGATTATCTATCAAATCCTTCCATAGTCACCTACAAATCAGAGATTGATGGCGCTGTGAGGGGTGACGGGTTCAAGCTGGCTCCCGTCACTGAGCTTTTATGTGCCGCAGCAACATGCTGTGGGAAAAGGCTCTCTGTGTGCCGGAGAACAAAATAAGTTAATAACTGCAACACTCGGGTCTATGTGCTCTGTGTCACAGATTAGTCTGAAGTGCCTTTGTTTTGTCTTCTTGACTGAAGTCGACATAAATGCAAGCACTTTCCACTCCATTGGGTCTTGACAGCCCTTTTAAATCCCGCAGACCTGACCACTCATCTGTGACCCATCTATGTAAATGCTGCTGCATCTCCTCTTAGCGTCACACATGTTGTAGGTAGCGGAGCAGTTTTTGGTATTTTGAAGGCCATCCGCAGCTGGACTAGCACATTTATTCTTTTCCTCTGCAGAGGTGCTAAATGTAACGCAGTGGTGGATGTTTTTGGATTGTGTAAAGGCGTGAGAACAATCAGTGTCTTTGAGGATGCCAGACTAATCTCCCAGTGTGTGTGCCTTTGTGTTTAACTGGTCAGTCACTGCAGGAGAGTTTCATTGTTTACCTCTCTCCCTCCTTCTGTCCCAGAGGGCCTCAACTGTATGAATAAGGAGCACGGCTGCGCCCACATCTGCAAGGAAACACCCAAAGGGGGTGTGGCCTGTGAGTGTCGTCCAGGGTTTGAGCTGGCCAGGAACCAGAGGGGCTGCATCTGTGAGTGCACCGGCATGAAGTCACACAGCGCACCAAAGGAGGCGTCCACCCCCTGACTGTTTGCCGTGTGGCCATTGTTTGTTCTGCAGTGACTTGTAACCATGGCAACGGAGGCTGCCAGCACACCTGTGAGGACACGGAGAATGGCCCCATATGCAGGTGTCACGTCAGGTACACTCTGCAACCTGACATGAAGTCATGTGTGGGTGAGTGTTCTCACAGGGAATGGAAAGCCGTGCGAGCAAAGCGTTTCTCTCACACTGTGTGGGTTGTGCATTGATGCCCACCTTTAACATGCTCTCACATTCATTCTTAAAGCCTTCCCTTTAAAACAATGTCTTTAGGTTCTGTTGAGTGAGTCATGTATTTTCTCTAATCCAAGCTTGGCCATTTCAAACACCACCTGTGTTTTCTAACAAACTGTCACAGAGATACCAAACATTCATTACTTCCAGTAATTTGATTTAATCCCCAAAAGGACAATGATATCGTTGCCATAATAAACAGATATTACATATCATAGCAAATAGTCATTATGAAGATTATTTTTGTAAGGCCGTTTAAGGGGAGATACATGGGATGTTAATAATGAATATAATAGTTCTGCTTCACTTTGACTGTGTTGGAATTATGTTTTTTTTTTTGGTTAAATTACCAGTTTGAGGCAGAAGTAAATGGAGCCGTAGTAATAAAACTGTAAAATGTTTTCTGAAGAACCTTTTAACTTTTTTGAGAGGTCTATTTTAAAGAGAAAGGAAGTAAAACTGTTCCTCTATCATACGATACAGTGCAGCTGCAGGTCTTGTTGCCTGATCTCTGAAACACTGTTCCAGCACACGTCTCTTTAAGGCCACTCCCAAAGGTATAAACAGCTCTGATTGGTCAGAAATAGTGGGCTGCTTAGCAGCTGCCCATTCTTTTTTGGTCGCTGCCAAATTACTCACATAGCATGAAATATGCAGATGTTTTCATGCAGATGTCCTGAATGGGGGATGAGCAAAACAACAAAGATTCTCTGTTTCGTAGTCCAGGTAGAAACAGAAGGAAGCCCATTTGCACTGCTCTCTGGCCTTTTAAATCACAAATCAAGCCACACAACATCCTGAACGAAATGCAGAACGCAGACAAATGGAGAAAAATAAAGAAAAAAAGCAAATTAAACACTTTGATGTAATTTTTTAACCAATCAACATAATATTACATTATTTTCGTAATATTATCTAGCTTTTATGATGAGCTTATTCAGTCAATTATATATCGTGAGTCTGTGAAGTTCTCTTTATGTTCTTTGTTAAGCAAAATGGAAAAAAACTGGACGCCATATTTGGCTTTTCAGTCAGCATTCCAATGCGTCTGATAATCAGAGTTGTCATTTCTGTCAAGAATATAACAAAACTTGATGGATATGTTTCTCTCATAGCATGGATACTATCTTGATGAAGATAGTACCTCTTCTTTTACACTGTGTTTTTTTTTCCCATCACAAAATTGTTTAGAGGGATAAGAATCCCTTGTCAGATAGTGGCTTAAATGTCTTCTTCCCGCAGCAGTGTGTGTGAGGTCCAGGGGTGTAACTGCAATGTTGCCGCCAGATTTTGATCTGTTGTATTATCTGACACACACCAAGCCACCACAAGCAGAAAGTTAGAAAATACATCTGGGTTTCAAAAGGTGACAAACACCCACAGCTGACCACCAGTTAAGTAAAAGTGTGTCCAGTATTTGACAAATATGGTGAATCTGATGGCTAACGCTGTTGATGATTGCGTTCCCGTGTCGTAGAGCTTGATGAAGCCACCACTGAATCCTCGGACCACAACGCCACGTCCTTCGCCGAGGTGGACAAGCGTGTTAAAAGAAGACTGTTAATGGGTGAGAATTACACCCCTCACAGGCCAGCAGCTTGGACTGTGTTTTACATGTCAGTGTGCTGAGCTGAACCACTCAGGAGCAGGAAGAAGAGTGATGTCTAGTAAACCGAAACATTCCTCAGTCTTTTGAGCAAACTGTGAAATGACTACACGCTCAGCATTTCGCCCCCAGTCTCCCTCCTAAAATATATGCATTTGTGACAGTGTGGTACATTTCACATTTTCCTTCCATTTGAGAGGGGCTACATGGGAAGATTTTCTCTCATAGCTTGTATTTATCACTTCTGTGATTCTGGGTCACCTGATGTGTGTAAAACATTGTATCTTTTGGCACCTTATCAGGCACAAGAGCTCTGGGAGTCTGGTCCTGGGTTATAAATAGTGCACGTTGCTCACGTACGTGTCTGCAGACATACAACTGTGCGGCTTGCCAGCAAAGCTTCAGGGACTTATTTCTCTGCTCCCATCAATATATATCAACATTAAGTTTTGGCCAAAAATTTGAAACATATAGTAAACTTTGTACATTTTTTAAAGCATCCAGATGTTCGGGGGGGTTATAGGTGTACCTGAACTAATTCAGGATGATTCACGCTGCGATACGTATGTGTTTGAACGGCAGAAACCTGTGCGGTGAACAACGGCGGCTGCGACTGCACCTGCAAAGACACGTCCACAGGCGTGCGCTGCAGCTGCCCCGTGGGTTTCACCCTGCAGCCCGACGGAAAAACATGCAAAGGTCAGACTTCGTCCCACCCCAAGAGCTTCCGACAGAGATCGAACGGCCTGAACACGAACCTTAGCTCGAATGTAGGCAATTCGTTTCTCGCAGATATCGACGAGTGCGAGGTCCACAACGGCGGCTGCGAACATTTCTGCAGGAACACCATCGGCAGCTTCGAGTGCAACTGCAGAAAGGGCTTCAAGCTGCAGTCCGATGAGCGCTCATGTCAAGGTAAAAATGGAGGCTTTAATTATTTGATAGTCGGGGCAAAAGAAAATGACTCTAATGATAGAGATAGGTATTGCATAGTAGAACCCAGATATGAAAATGTGATCAAATGAAATCGTATGAATGTAAAAGATCTCACTGAGATGTCAATACTCTAGCTGATGCAGCATAGTGGACATATCAAACAGCTCTGAGTGGAAGGATGTGTGTCAGGGTGGTAAATTCCTCCTGATTTAGATTATAACTGACTGCCCTGCTATTATGTCATCTGTCTGATTTTGATTACAGATATAGATGAGTGTTTTTTCCAACGCACGTGTGATCACACATGTGTGAACTCCCCCGGTGGTTTTCAGTGTCTGTGCAACAAGGGCTACACTATGTATGGACTGGCCCACTGTGGAGGTAAGATAGAGCTGGGTGGAGGACGTTGCGCATTACAATTAGCAAAGCACGAGTGCTTAATTTAGGCATGTACCTGTGACCTCTTTGTCACTGATCTGTTGTAAAAATGATTTCCCCCTTCCATCTCAGACATAAATGAATGCAGTGTGAACAATGGTGGTTGTGAGCAGGGTTGTGAGAACACCATGGGTGGATTTGAGTGCTTTTGCCGCCCTGGCTATAAGCTTCACTGGAACAAAAAGGACTGTATCGGTAAGCTCCTTTCAACTTTTTTTGAGTGGTTTTCCTCTGTCTTTTGAAAAACAAAAGTGTTTATGACATCAGGGACTAAAATCTGGGGGACAAAAACAGGAGATACTTTGAATTGTTCTCTTTTTCTCTCTGTCACTTGATTCTTCTGTGCTTTAGTAGAACATTCAATGTCCAACCATGATTGCACAACCTTGTATTCTTGTTTGTTTTTTGAACCTCATCCTCGCGTGCACATTCCTCTGAGCTGCAATTAAGCATTTTCTTTTTTAGCTTTGAGTTTTGTTGTGATTTTTATCCAGAGGCTGAGGGTTTACCACCTGCAAGCCCCCCCTCTAAACCTACATTGAACTGTAGCAAGCAGCATGGAGGGGACCGCTGCTTTTTGACCTGCCAGTCTCAAGTTCACATCAGCAGTGGTGAGTTTAGCCAGATCTGTTATTGACAACTAGGCCCACTAGCGTATACACTTTCTATCTGCCTGTTTTCTAATCAAGTGAAACTCGCCCACAGATGAACAGGAACTCCATATCAGAGGAACTGTTTGTGGTTTTCTTACATGCCTGAACCAGTTTGTTCTCACTCCCTTGACACATACTGATGCTTAGACATTCAGGAATTTTTTGGGGTGATTTTGGTCAGTCAAACTGAAAAGTCAAACTAAAGAGAGACAAAGCTGGAAGTGAAAAACATCAATCTTAAAGGGACATTGTGTATTTTATTCGCAAAAATAATTTTCTTCTTTTTTAAATGTGACCTGAACTTTTTTATCAATCCATTTAACAAATACATGAATATATTTAATACATTTTTAAATTAATTTAATTAATTTTTTTTATTTATTTATTACAAACCTCATCACCCAAAAGAAAACTCCATGATGTGGAAGTCATGTTGTCATTACTTCTTGATGCATGACGGCTACTTTAGTTGCAATACCCATCTGAAAACGCAAGGCACTAGAGAGCACGATTTGTTAGAATGCAAAATACAATTTCACCGTTAAATGGGAGAAATTCCGTGTACCTTTAAGATTAGACTGAACATGAGTCTCATGCTCAGGACTGATGCCTTGATGTTAAACATGGTAGCTGTTAGTGAACAAGTGCTATTGAAAGACATTTTTGCACTATTTGCGCTCTATGGCAATATGGAGCTTTGAAGCAATTTCTTTTTCTTTAGAAAAGCGATATTTAAGGTGGAAATGTCAGTGAGAGTGACCCAAAGAGCTCATAGTTGTAATAAAACATGACTTTTAACCATCAAAATTGATGAGAACAGGAGGTTAGGATACTTCTTTTTAAATTATGAATTAATTTCTCAGCAAGTAGAGGCTGACCCGATTGATCTGACTCAGAAAGCATGTAAACAAATATTCAACCCCCGTCATGCATTGTTCTTGTGGCATCTGAACATTTACAATTCAAACTATGCACGCTATTGCTTTTCTGTGAAAAGTTGTACTGGCAATCCTACTAAATCAAATCCAGTCCCATTAACCAACAACACATAAATGAGTAGCCAATAAGAGTGTTGAATGGGTTAGTAAATACACCCACAATTGTTTTTGAATTGTTATGGTAACGTAATATTTTGTAGTATGTAAACTCCGACGTTGGCATTGTAATGGACTTAGTCGACTGTCCGGTCTCCCTGGAATGGCAAATATTGTATGTCCATCGTGCCGTGGTTAAACCTGAATGAATCCATAGGGAACATTAACTTCGACGTGACTCATGCTCGAATTTCTGAATGCTGCAGCTTTAAATGATTGATGAAGCCATCAATGTTACGAAACCCACGTCTGAAAAGAGCTTAAGTCAATCTGTTTTAGATCTGGTTGTGTGAACAGTTGTCGGGCTCAGCCTACGGAGCGACATGTCATGTTCCTACATGCTTCCTCTTTGCTCTTTTACTTGGCTTTTGTGGCCCTAACTTTTGTCAGAGTTGGTCGGTGTGTCATGGCCCCTTGTGTGTTTTCAGGGACGGAGGATTCCTACACGGTGACCTGTGGAATGCCTCTGCCCTGCTTGGCTGACGCACAAAAGAACAACAGTGGCTTGTATTGCTTTGGCAAGTACAAAACCTCACAGATTTACATCAATCTTTCTGCTTTGCCATACAAAACAGTAACTCAGGAACAGCTCAGGCTTGTGTTTCTGGTTTTCGGTTGATATGTAAATAGATGAAAATGACTAGATCTTCTCTTTTCTCCCTGTCAGGTCCAGGAAAGGCCAATGTTCCACGCATTAAAACCACAGCCACTTTTAAGTCTGGCACTGCAAAGTGCAACTTAAAACGAAGTCAGGAGAAACTCAAGGAGACCTTAAACTCTGCACACTCAGGTACATGGAGACCAACAAGGCCTTCAAACACAATACTGAGATGACAGATGGACAGGGATTAGAATTACAGCTCCTTCATGTCACAGGTTAAAAACAATTTGGGTTTACTAGGGGCTGCCGTCTTTTGAAGAAGATAAAGCAAACCTGAAAGCTGCTTCAAAGAAAACCAAAAACCAAGGGCAAATGTGAAAGAGATTTGTGGGGAAAGTGATGTGGTTTGGAGTGTTTTGAATGTCTCAGAGCTGCACTTTGTCTGGCGGTGACAAGGGAGGATGTAATTAGCCATAGCATGCCTTTCAATTGGGGTGACCCAGCCATCAATCAAATGGGTTTTTGAATGTGGGATTATTTTGCCTCTCCAAAGTAGAAGTGAACAGAATTGTTTCAGTTTCAGCTCAGTTTCTGATGTACATTATTATCCATCCTCCCCCAGCTCTTGACTCATAAAAGCAAGAGAAACATTTCAGGAAGCTAAACCGTGTTAGTTTGGACTTGAACTTTTGAACATTTGTGTGATTTTGTGTGTGGTAAATGTGTCTGTGGCGTGGTGGTGGGGCGGGGTGGCTGTCTCCCATGTTCACAGATAGCAGGTTCCTCTTCACTGAGAATGTCCAGTTCAGCTACGTGAGCCTGCGCTGCACATCGTCCGGCCAGAGGCCGCGCAGCCGTCACAGCAGGAAGACCGGCGAGGAGGACGGCTCCTCCATCACAGCTGAGTTTGAGCTGGATGTGAACCTTGAGGAGGTAACAGGTTGGTCTCTCTGCACTTCTGTCTGCTCGTGGCCTTTTTGCTTTTTTGGTCTCTGTCTGTCTTTCTCTCACTGCTGTCTGTCACTAAACAAAACAAACCATTAAAGTATCTCCTGTTTTGACATGGCTGTGGTGGTGGTGGTGGGCTCTGGGTTTGCTTGGAGCATGGGGTCAAGGCCTCTCCTGTTTTAATTCCTTGAGTTCTGTAGCGTTGGTATCTGAGGGTATTTGTCTTTTTTCTTTTGTGAGGTAAGCATGTGGGAATCCAGGCATGGAATCTGGGTTTACAGTAGTCAACAATTAAGTTTCGGTCTGCGAACAGTTGTGGTATCAATTGCTTCTCTCAGCAGAGAGCTGTGATCTGAACTGCGTGCGTCGGCGCTCAGAGAGAAGGCTCAGGAAGACCATCAGAACCCTGAGGAAGTCCATCAACCGGGAGCAGTTTCACCTCCACTTTGCCGGCGCTGACTACGAGCTTTCAAAGAGTCTGGGTCAACCAGCAGAGCTGCCGGGACACTGTGCGGCCGGACAGGTGCTGGTGGGCAGGAGATGTGGTGAGTTCGATTAACTTCTTATTCAGGCCAATTTATACTTCAATAAGAATAAATCTTATTGCAGCCTGGAATATTTTACATTTTCATCCATCAAACCTCTTTGTTTTAAAGGCAGCACTGGCTCCAGGTGTGGCCCATGCACACAGTAAACCTATAGTCATGTCTTTAAGTCATTGGAATGGCCAAGCCAGGAAGATGTATTTAGACAAGTTGGTTTAATGATTGGATTTGGAACAGGTGTGGGCCAGATGAGTGCTGTATTTGGTTTGCAGACATGCTGTAATGAGCGAGCTAGAGGGGAGAGTGAGCTTGTGTGGAAGAACAGAGACTCTGTTGTTGGGCTTCCAAGCTATGAGATCTTTCAGCATCTCTTTGGGATAAGGCTCTAGCATTAGGACTCATGGCAGGTCTCCTGGTCGCTGTAGCCTCTCGGTTTAGTTTTATATACAACGTGTGATGGAGAAAATATTGGTTGAATATGACCGCACACTGTCAGGGGAAAAGAGCTGAGAGTTGGCTTTCATTTTTCCTGGCCGATGGTGCAGCGAGCCCCTGTTTTCAGGCCTCTCGCTAAGATTGCTGCCTGCTGAAACATCTCACCAGCAAACCGACGCTGGTCCTCTTTTTACATGTCTAAATATTTATTCACTATGTGCTTTGTTAAATTTTTAAGATGTTTGCGTGTGATGCATACCCGGGTCCTCAATGCCACATGTGTAGAGTAGAGCCGACGGACCTTTTTCACATGTAGAGTTTGCTGCTCCTGTTTGATTTTTCCATCTTCAGTAAAAACAGACCTTAAAAGACTTTTTTCCTGAACTGTTCAGCTATGCTTTCAGGTCAACATTAAACAGTCTATTGGCCGTGGCAGGGGTGTAGACATGTAATTTGGGAGAGCAGAAAGAGAAGGGGGGTGGGGGGGGGTCTGAGAGGCATTCTTCTTAACCTCCAGCTCTTTAAAGGAGCTATATTTTTCCCTCCTCCCCCACCCCCCGCTCGGGCTTAGCACAGAGTGCAGTTTAGTCCTTTTCAGTTTGCCCACTCCATTGAAAACCCTTTCTGGGCTCGTTCTTATTCCCTCAGAGGGACAACAACACAGGCTTCTTTGAATCTGTAAGAAGCACTGCAGTGTTTCTCATTTCTCATCCGTGTTTCTGTGGCGTGTTTTTGGTTGCTGTTGGCTGTACGAGTTTACATCTTTTCTGTTGTCAGAAATCTCCACACGTTATATGTGAATAAATAGTATTTGGATTTTATTAGAACTTCCTAGAAGCATGTTCTTATGATAAATTGAACATATGGGCTATGAGGGAGATCTGATGCTTCAAATCTGCACGTCCGTCTCAGTTCGAAAATGGTAGCCAATTTGTTTGCATGTTTGTTTTAAAAATGTGGGATTTTTAGGATGTTCTGTTTGATTCAAGCTGGCATTTTGAGTGCGGGGTACCCCCCACCTTTCCCCCAGCCGGGGCCACTTTGCATGACCCCCAGCCACTAAACTGCTAAAGAGAATTGACTTCAGCCACACCATGGGAATCAATTAGCATCAGCTGTTTGGGCCTCTGCTTGATGGGCGCAAGCGGTGATTGGGCCAACCAGAATGGGGGGATTCAGAAACCTGACCCCTTTTATTAGGTTCAGCTCCTTACCACTGTGATACCGTAGTGTTTTCCTATGTCATCAAGTAGGCAAAAAACTTGAATAGAGGTGAAAGGTCTTTTAAACCTCTTAGGGGCCATCAATTCGAGGACTCTATAGAGGTGCTCTTTGCATTTGAAAGGCTTCAAGGTTTTTTTCTCTTTCTCTCTCACTCTCTCCTCTTCCCTCCCTGTTTCCCTCTGTCAAATAAAAGCTGTTAGAGAACAATGCAATGATGGCTCCTCATGGTCTTTCAGAATAAACAAAGGGCTTCAAAAATGAACTGCTCTTGATAGAATTACATTTTCACTCTTTAGAAGAAAAAATCCAACAATTTGCTGAGCTACGTATAATGAGGCGACATTCAGGCTTTTGTGTGTCAGGCTTATGAAGGCTGTGGCTCTTTACTCGCACGCAGCATCTGAGGCACATTTTGTACTAAGGACAGAGGGATTTAATTGATTTATTCCAGAATGAGATCAGCTACAGTTTTCAAGTCAAGTTCTTTCAGCTATCAGACAGAAACACTCATTCCCAAATTAATTACAGGCATCACTCAGAATGGGAGGAACCAAAGCAAAACTGTGTTTTGGTCCCTGTAATCAAGTCTGTGCACTTTTGTGAGGGAAATGCCCCCTTTGATTTACCTCTGGATTTACTTTTTAGATGAGGTGATGGTACTTATGTCGGCACTAGAAGTTCCTGACACACAGCAACTCTGTATAGTAAAATATTATGAAGAAAGGCAGCACTGAAAAGACTGGTGCTGGTTTCTCCTGGTATGACTGGAGGACAAATGTATGAGTGCTTTAATGATGACTTCTTGTATAGCGTTTGATTTGTTTAGAAAGCGTGCAGGTGAAAGTGGTTTAAAATGTGTTTCAGGAACTATGGAAGGCAGCAGGCTGGAATTTATTTAACTCTATGAGTAATGCCAGCGTCGGCTTTAATGGCGAAAGGCAATCTACGCTAAACACAATCAGCTTAACTGTAATCCTCTAAGACTGTTCTTAGATACATGTTTACTTTTTCTTCTTTTTATACAAAATGATTACTTCATAAATCAACTCAAGCCTCAGTTTCAGTTATAGGAGCAAAACATCAACATAGAAAAGTAAATCACTTCTACAGAAATAAGAACCATCTCAAATCAGATTTGAATGTGTATCTGTAATGTATTTGATTGAAATTCAAATCTATAACCTCTTCAATAACTTGCTTCATTCCTAAAAAACCCTTGACCCCATGAAATATCTAAATCCAACATCCAGATTTGACAGGTCTCTGTGAATTAAGTTTGTGTGTGGTTCATTTATAGTCATTATGTGTTATGGATGAGTGTTTATGACGTAGCTGTTGTACAGCTTGATTCACGGCTGCTTGCCTGTTCATTATCGTTGAAGTCTCAAATAAGGCCCAGCCGATACCTTTGATGTGAAGATTTAACTCGGTGCTCTTCACTGTGTTTATCCATTTCAAGTATGCACAGGGCCTCCCCTTGATTACACTTGAGAGTGCAGCTGAAGTCTGAGTTACTTTAATGTTGCTATCATTGAATTTAACCACCGTCTTTAATGTGTTCATCTGCTCCACAGAGAGAGCTGTATGATTATGTGTTGCCACAGGGAAAACTGCTATATTTGTTGATTCATGTCTGCATATCACATTGTCTTCTGTCCGCAAATGTTTTCCCTGCACCATGTATGACCTACCTGACTCTCTTTTGTTGGCTAAATTACATTAATTACAAGTTCAGACATAACATACGGTAAGTTCTGTTTTGGATATCTTACCTTAAGTGGTGCCAGTTGCTGAGGAAAAAGTTCCAGTTTCTCTTTGTTGAATGGTTGCATTTATTTCAGCTTGAATCTATATGATATTCTTGTGAGGAAATGTATGCATCTAATAAAGCTTAATACTGAAGGAAAGCATTTTTTGAATATCTATTACAATGTCATTCCCCTCTTATCTGCTAGTGAGCTGCAGTGCGGGGACGCACTACAACAGTGATCAAGGACGATGCGTGCTTTGTCCAGCTGGAACATATCAGGATGAGGAGGGACAGATGTCTTGTGAGGCCTGTCCCACCCCTGAAGGAAGAGAGGTGTCCAAGGTGGTAGGAGCTCGAAATATGTCAGAGTGCGGAGGTGAGTGGCTGTGTTTGACTGAAATATTTATCAAAATATGGACATAAAAACATTAGCTTTGAATTATATAAATATACTGATGCTGTGCTGTCCGGGTGACCTGTGTTTAAAATTAGGTATGCTTCATGTTTCAATACATCTGATTTCTTGAATAAAATTTTTTGTGTTTTTTGTGATATATAAAGAAGATTGGGCTGAATTTGAATGGTCAGCTTATAAAAATAAAAAGTCTTTATCCCTTTTGTTACCAATCAGGACATATTTTTTTCTTTTTCCCCTTCATGGTAAGTAACTCATGGTAGTAAAGAGGGCAACGTGACCCATTTCTGGGTGAGACTAAAAAAAGTTTCAAGGGAAACATCATATTTTGAACAAATAAACAAAAAGCACAAAAGAACAAACAGGCCCCAATGAGTGGGAAAAAGTGTTTTGTGTATCTGAGTCACACAGGAAGCACTGGTGCCGTGATAAAGATCTCTCCTTGATGTTCTGCTTTGTGTAAACCCAAAGAAGCTTGAGCTCAGGTGATGAAGATGTGTTTAGATACAGAAGGTGAATGCTTTCAGGCTTTTTTCAGGCTTGAATAACAGTTGAGGGAGCCACTATGGACGTTCTTATCACAGTCACTTTGCGGCCGAATCCCTGATCCCATCTCCTGAGACAGACTAAACAAGAAGATTCCAAACAGGCTCGATTAGTCATTCTGGAGTTAAACTGTGCGAGAGGTTCAGATGAAACATGGCATCCCTCCAATAACATTTGTTTAAGCTGTTTCCCAAATGCTTACCTTAATAGACTAAGAGAATCTTTATCTTGCGCCCCACATGTACAAATGAGTCAGCTGTGCAGCTGTTAAAGTGTTGTCGTTTTTTTTGTTGCTGGTTTTGCTCTTTCTGAGTTCACAGTCCGAGCTGACCAAAGACTTAACTGTTTGTGTCCAGGTCAGTGCCCCCCTGGTCAGTACTCTCACGACGGCTTTGTCCCTTGCCTATCTTGTCCGTTGGGAACGTACCAGCCTGAAGTGGGGCGCACTTCCTGCTTCCCCTGTGGAGGAAATTTGGTCACCAAGCACAGTGGAGCTGTCACCTTTCAGGAGTGTGAGACCAAAGGTCTGACATCTGTGTTGTTGTGCAATTCCTAACATAAATGTAAGGCTTAGATGGTTCTTTTGGAGCAGAGAACGTTTAGGAAAAACTGTCAACGTTGTAAAAGGACCATAAGTGGAACATCTGTGGGTGCTTGGATTTTCACTTTGTTTCCACTTCACCTCTGCTATGGCGGATACTGACCCTACAAAGGCTCCTTCAGTGTTGACAGGAGCTCTGCTGCCCTCTGCAGCTGGTGTGTGGTCTTTTCCCTGGAAACACAATTCAGTTTAGCTTACATATGCATAACAAATAGGCTTTAATGAGGCATAGCATAATGGCAGTTTTCCTGACTATTTTGGTTTAGTGTGGACTTCCAAATGACAAAGATGCTAATCTGTTACATACCAGAGAAGGTTTAACAGTCTTTTGGTACTGCCTGTGCTTCCTGCAGTCCAGTGCTCCCCGGGACATTACTACAACACCACGACACACCGCTGCATCCGCTGTCCAACGGGCACATTTCAAGGGGAGTTTGGCCAGAATTACTGTGTCGCCTGTCCTGGGAACACAACCACTGACTTTGATGGCTCCACTAACATCATGCAATGCAAAAGTAAGTGTCTGTAAACAGCAAAGACCCTGAAAGAGAGCAACTTCAGCGGTTTCCCAATAGGGAACGCTCCTGAAATAAGAACAACAAAAAAGGAAATCTCATTTGTGTTGATTCACAGACCGACAGTGTGGAGGGGAGCTGGGAGATTTTACTGGCTACATCGAGTCTCCCAACTATCCAGGGAACTACCCTGCCAACATCGAGTGCACTTGGACCATCAACCCACCTCCCAAACGCAGAATCCTTATCGTTGTTCCGGAAATCTTCCTGCCCATTGAGGACGAATGTGGAGACTACTTAGTAATGAGGAAAAGCTGTGAGTTACACCTATGTGTGCCTTTCACAAGTCCTACAAGAGGCTGATATGTAGTGTAAGTTTGTCACACTTCAACTTTGTGAAGCTGTTGGACTTGGAGAGAACTTTCACAGTATCATCCACAGAGGTGCTGAGAGCAAGCTTTATGTGGAAAGTTTGCAAACATCTCATGTTATGGCCAAGATGTTTGCATAGATTCTGGCCGCTCGACAGAATGAGTCAAGATGAAGCGTCTTTTTCTTCTCTCATGAAACTACAGCATTGTATCTTTAATAACTGAAAGATGCTTTTCTTTGTGCACACAGCTTTGTCCAACTCTGTGACGACCTATGAGACGTGTCAGACGTATGAACGCCCCATCGCTTTCACCTCCCGCTCAAAGAGGCTTTGGATTCAGTTCCGGTCCAATGAGGGAAATAGTGGGAAAGGCTTCCAGGTTCCATATGTGACATATGACGGTGAGAAGAAGAAGAAGAATGCTTTTGTCCTGTACAATGCAAGCTACTTTTGAAACAGAACAAGTTTTATATTACATTTTAGTCTTAGAATAAGAGACATTACACTATATTAATTTTGCAATGAATTTCTCTAAAGGCTGGAGATGTTTCATTAGGCTTGACCATTTCAGCTTGAGACTGAGGAGGATATTTGTGAATTTTGTTGGTTTCAGAGGACTACACAGAACTGATCGAAGATATTGTGAGAGATGGAAGATTGTATGCATCAGAGAATCACCAGGAAATCCTCAAGGTATTTTTTCAAATGTGCAGCAAAGAGCAGAGACAGTTTTGTGGTCCTTGTTTATTCCAGTAAAAAGCCTGCTAGACATTTTCCCCCTAGTGGACGTAAGCAGAAGTACTCATCACATTATGTTGTTTGAAATTAAATGAACACCCCCACATTCCAATTTCTCCTCAGGATAAGAAGCTCATGAGGGCGTTATTTGACGTGCTGGCTCACCCGCAGAATTTCTTCAACTACACGGCACAGGAATCAAAAGAAATGTTCCCTAAATCCTTCATTCGCTTCCTGCGCTCCAAAGTCTTGAGATTCCTTCGTCCTTAAAAATAGTTGACCCCTTATCCTGGATATGTCATGATAAACGTACAGCGGATACAGTAACTCCTTATTCAATGCCCCCTTAAGTGTATTCTGTCATTAATTGTAAAACCATTGTAGAGTGGATCTCACATTAAGGACTATTCAAATCGCATGTGGACAATTCAAGCAAGAGGACTTCAGATAGGGTTTTAGGGAAGATGTAAGCAGCAATGACATGCATCTGCAATCTCAGAAATAAATTGAGATAGCTTGTCTTTGTGTGGAAATATGCTTTTATATCTTTTCTTAAGATTTTAATATCAGGATTGAAATAAGAAAGCTCCCATCTTGTGTATTTGAATACTGCTTAATACTGCACATGTTGACTTTATGGGACTTTTGGTAATAGAGTCATGATGAATCACGAATATGGTAGTTGAGCAACTATATACCGAATGTCAATGATACTGTATATAGAGTGTGTATTTAGTTTTAACATAGGCTTCTTTTACAGTTAGAGATGAATTGTTGACAGAAATACTGCTAAATGTCAGGGACTAATAGAGAACAAGTGTTTTGTTTGGAACACTAGCACTACTAAAGAGATAGTTCCACCACAAAAGCAATTATTTGGATGAATATCTTGTATATGATGTAAAAAGTATTAGGTGAAATGCTAGGTAAGGTACGCAAATATCACTGCCAATGCTGATGGCACATGCATTTGGTGCTCTCTAGTATCGGGAAGAGCACTACTGTTCTTAAAATAACATTTTGACTGCTGCATCAGATTAACACCTGTTTTTGCATGATTACATATAATATTGTGAACAAGCAACCAAAGAGGACCCTGTAGACACCCCAAAACACATCATGTTGGAGTAACAAACAGTCATGTAAAATACAAGTATTCATTTGTCTTAGATGGTAATGTATGTATATTTTTATGGTTTTGTACATCTTATATGCTGTAAATAAAAAACTGAACTTATTTGCATTGTCTTGACGCAGTTCTTTGAACATTTCATGTTAATTTAGGATATACAAAGTTTAAACATGCTCACTGAGAAAACTGCCTGGAAATAAAACAGGGGTTCGTTCTTTAGCAAGTATATAGTTTTTGCAAGTATGCAGGTCAAGTGATTGTGTCTACATGGTCAACCATTTATATGATCATGACTACTGTTTACAGGACTTAAGACAACATAATGCTATTGTTTATTCAAATTATGTACTCATAAACCACTACATTCAATTAGTTTACTACAGCAAAGGGTTTTTCTTTGTTTGTTGCCGTCTAGATGAAATACAGTAAAATTAATAAAACAAGAAACTTCATATTTAATGTGTAATGTCGTCAATGTTTAAGACGATGCTGTCATCTTGTTTCCTGCTTCACAGCTTGGTACTCTGTTTACGTATCGAAAAAAGGATGCGTTTGATTTAAACACCGTCTCCCTCCGTAAACCCGGGTTTTCGACGATCTAACAATAACAGTTACACGCTAGATATTTACTTGTTTTAAAAGACGCAAGTAACTACGAAATGTGCGCCAATAAATCTCCCAAAAAATTGTGCATTAGTTATTTCCAAACATTTTCCTACAGTTACCGCCTTCCCGGCCCATCTTCCCGTACTTCACTGAACTCAGCCTGATCCTGTGACTTTAGCGGAAACTGACCGCCATGTCCGGAAGTGACAAGTCAGCTGCTTGGGAAGCTGTTTATTATCGACTTAGCTCGATGGCTAACGTCGTCACTTTTTAGGACGCACCTGAAGTTACTGGAAACAGTTAAGCGTCTGTCATTTGCAGGGTGGGCTCTTGTGGCGGAGCGAAAAGATGAAGTCCGTGTTCGCTGTCGAGGCTCTTTCTTTGACGTGTTTTGTGCTGTTGAATCTGGTAGCAGCAAAGGTAAGGCTGCTGTTAGCCTGCTTAGCTGGGGGACACAAAATACTGCTGTTGGCGAACATTTATCTTTTTGGGGGGTCAGTATGTCAAAACCAGCTGTCAGTTTTCCCAGTGTGGTCATTTTCAGCCGGGCTGACTGCGGGTGTTGTCACAGAAGTGCTGCTTAAGACGGATTTCTGTTCATGGGTTTCATAGGATTTCAAAGCTGGGATCGTTGACAGCTGTGGTCGTTAAGATTTGGTTTTTCTGACGACATTTTGTCCGAAAAATACACAAATATTACATATTGAAGGTGATTTAACAAAAATGTAAAATAAAAAAAGAAAAGGATATCTCAAGACACCAGGAACGCACAGTGAAAATAATTAACTTAACAGACTATTGCAGATGTGTGAGGATGTTTTTATTCATTTTTCTTTTTAATGCTCCACTTGTTGTGAAACGTGTTGTGTATAATTGATTTAGTCACCTGTACCAGACGATAGGATAGTGTATGTTCTATGTAAGAAATTTTATTTGACATGATTTTGTCTTAACAGCTGTCTCTTTATATAACAAGCATCGGTATCTCCTGTAAAGGTGGCAAAATGTCTTAACTTATTTGAACGTGAGAGAGCCGGCAGTTGGGTCCAACCACAAAATGTTTATGAAGAGGAAAAAGATGATTGAACGAATGAGTGCATCTGTTACAGAATTCCGAGGATATCCGCTGCAAATGCATATGTCCACCGTACAGAGACGTCGAGGGCCAGATCTACAAACAAAATGTGTCTCTCAAAGACTGGTATGTTGGGAAACGCCTCACAGTGAGCAGCGGATCCCTCTCTGACTTGCTTTGGTTGATCAGTGCTGTTCTTTTGCCAGCAACTGCCTCCACGTGGTGGAGCCCATGCCAGTAGACGGGAAAGACGTGGAGGCGTATTGTTTGCGCTGTGAATGCAAATATGAAGAGAGGAGCTCTGGGACCATTAAGGTAAGTTCATCTTAAGGCCCGTTTTTTGCTTGCATAACCATTGCATGTGGTGATGACCTGCCCAGCTGAGTCATCTGTTGTTATTTTTTTCTTCCCCCCACTAAATGTATCTGTAAAATGCCATAAAACATTGAAAAATGACACCCATATTTGATCTGAAGCAGAAGAATCATATATCGATTAAAGAAAGATTTAAAGTTAAATGGAAATACCACAATAACTGCACAGATAAAGGATTGTTGCATATTTTCAGGTTACCATCATAATGTACCTCTCCATTTTGGGCCTCCTGCTGCTCTACATGGTCTACCTGACCCTCCTGGAGCCCATGTTGAAGAGGCGGCTGTTCGGACACTCGCAGCTTATTCAGAACGACGATGAGGGTGGGGTACGTGTTCATTTTAATGTCACCGAGCTGCAGCTGGGACAGTGCAGACATTATATTACGGTACCTTCTGATCCCTGTTGTGTCATAAGACCTTTTGTTTATGTGTAAACAGCTGACAACTATCACGCGGGTGTCAACCACTGTCAGTAATGTTTAACAAAGTCAGCTTATAGTGCTAGAAGGCTCCAGGAAAGGTGGACTCCTTAAATGCATCATCCTGTTACTGAAACAATGTTGGAAATTGGACACCGGCTCCTTACAGCTGCAGATGCGATTCGGCCTGATGCTTCAGGCAGCAAAGAGGGAGTGCATTAGTAACCACAGTCTCAGATGAGAGCGCAGGATCTCTAATCGAGCATCAACTATTCCTTCTCTCAACTCACGTTGCACGCATTTGCCACTGATATTCTAAAAAATAAAAAAAAATGTAGAGCTTAAAGACAATAGACAAAGAAGGCTGGTCAGTTCCTTCCCCTGGGGAACTCCTAGGTATGAATACAACCATTAAAGAAACCTCTGGAATTTGGAAGGTGGGGCAGTTTCACTGCTGGGTGAGATCACTGTCCACTCGGCTGTAAAGCAGACCACGGCGTCGGCCTTTTAACTCAAACTGTCTGTATTCTCTTTTCTCTGTGTGTCCCAGACTCTGCCACTCTGACCGCTTACAGGTGTGCCTTTGTGAGGCACTCACACAGTGACCGTTAAAAAAAAAAGTCTCTTTCCAAAGAGGGCAAAGCCCTATGGAGCCAGTTGGAGCAAAGAATTTGCTTCATTTGTGTTAAAAAAGCCAACACATTCTTTGTGCACAGCGAACAGGTTTGCACTGGAATGCCCTCTTACAGACACCCTGGGAGGTTACATCAGAACCTGAAGTTCTTAACTGTGAAAGAATGGTTCCACGGTTCAAAACCATGTGGAAGTTTAAGGAAATGACGAGCACAGCGTTGGCGGCACACCTGACTTTGAGGTCCTTTGAGCTTTTCCACTGAAGACCAGAGCATAACAGTCTATCCCTTTGTAATATGGGGACAGCAGCCACCTGTCAATCAGATTTAGTTTGGTTTTTAGGAAATATTCTGCATAGAGAACGTCATGCTAATGGAAATACCATTTAAGCCACAGATGAGTGCAAATAATTTGGTCCCTGTTGATATGAAGAAGTGTTTAGGTACCAGCGAAAGGAAATGGAGTCTGCCTTTGCCTGAGGGCAGAGGTGGAGCCACGGAGTGGTGACTAATCTTGACAAACGTTGTGCTTCAGCGAAAAGCAAGCCAAAGCAGAAGTCGTCACCAAAAGCTTCTCCTTTCTTGCTGAAAGGAACATGAAAGCAAAACTCTCCCATTATAACATTTCTATCGAGACTTTTTCATTTAGGACACTGTAAGCAGCAAGGATTAAACAAAGAGAGGCGGTGCTGCAACATTAACTATGTTTGGTTTGTCTCTTAGAAACAGAGACTGCCTCATGACTTTTCTTTGGTTTGGGAATTGTGAAACAATAATAAAAAAGAGGAAATTGTTCCTTGTAAAAGGTACTGAGTGGTACCATTGAAACGACAGTTCAGATATGGAGGATTAACTTAAAGTTTCCCATCTGTCAGTACAAAGTTTGACAGAATTGAACCTGCCAGGCCTCTGTAGCGTCTTTTACACCGTCTGTGGCTGCGTGAGCTGCTGCTGTACATGGCAGCTGGACGTGGTCCAGTAGCATCCAGGGGAGTGGGCACCTGATGTTAAAGAGGAAGAGATGGGTTTTCCAGATTTTCTCCGGACTTTTCTGTTGGAGTCACAGTTACAGTCTGCGTAAAATGGGGATTCTTCCAGAACAGACCAGCTGTCAGAGCATTGTGGCTCACGTTGTTGCTGATGCTGTTTTCCACCCTCTCCAGGACCAGCAGCCGTTTGCCAACGCTCACAACGTCCTGTCCCGCTCTCACTCCCGCCCCAACATGCTGAACAAAGTGGAGCACGCCCAGCAGCGCTGGAGGAGGCAGGTGCAGGAGCAGAGGAAGTCTGTGTTCGACCGCCATGTCGTCCTCAGTTAAAATGCTCTCTGAGATACGGGTGGGCGGGGCGGACAAAAGCTAAAGTGGGGGGAAAGGAAAAACACTGTGATAGAGCTCCTCCGCTGATATTACTCCCTCTATCTCATTTCTGATTGGTGTGTTGCACATTTTTGGTGAACTTGGTTTAGAAAACTGGATCTGGCAAATCAAAGTTACTGGGAACTCTTATTTAATCTGCGAGCGGCGTAAGAGATTCAATAAAAGGAGTCTTTGCACGCTGTGAAATGCACAGCCACAAAAAGCAGATTTTCCTCTTTCACAAACGGTCCAATCTGCCCCAGACTGTCCAGCTCTTCAGGTCTGTGGGATAAAGTAGCTTTCAGAGCGGTCATCGTGGCAGGATGGCAGACCAGTCATGAACTGTGTGTTTCAGCCCAAACATTGACCTCAGTGCGGGGGGGGGGTACGAACGAGTGTGAAGTATATCTTACATTCTCAATCTGAATCTGCATGTTTTGTAAAGCTGTTTTTTATAAGGTGTTCTAGCCCATCATTCCTACTATGATGTCTCCATGTGTAATAACTAGTATGATGTTAGTCATTTCATGCATTACATTAAATATTAAATTTGAGAGTAGTTTCTTGACGCAGAAATTGATCCAAAATTCTCGGTGATGTCATAGGTAAAAATAGCCGGGCCACTGATCCCGGTCTGTTAACGGCCCTCTAACAGTCAGCACCCTCTTCAACAGCTAACAAACCTAATTTGTAGTCTTAAATTTTGGCACATTTTGTGCTCAGTCTAACCTTTTCCACATTTAGGGTCGTTCTTTTTCTCAGAGGCAGCATGCGTGCTGGCATTCTGAGCTCACAGGAGTTCATTTTGTGTATAGTTGTTATAGTTGCAGTGGACAAAGAGCTGTTGTTGGGTGACCGGACAAAGTGTTCTTATTGTAAATGTGATACCTTTAACTTTGAAATAAACCTATGTGATATTTATGAGTCTTGTCTTGAATCTGTTGTGCCTGTTGCACTCACCTCATGGCTGGTGATGTCTGTGTGGACCTGGATTTGTCTACTTCCAGCCTTCCAGCAGAGCATTATGCAGATGGTCTAAATTCCTGAAATGAGTCTTTTATCTGCCTCTTTGACAAGCCTTCTCATATTTTGTCTTGAAGTAGTCTTAGAGAACAGTTTTTCAGGCCTTTTAAATGACCCTCCATAGCTATTCTTTGGATGCTGGCTGCCTTTTGTTCCGTCCTCTGCCAAAATCACCCCACACTGCCTCAGTAATGGTGAGGTTTGGACACTGGAAAAGATTCATCCCTCCATCATTCTGTGTAATTTGGCATATGTCAGCCTTTTCTCCTTTTCCTTCTTCAAAAAGCACAACTTGACAGCCTTCCCCTTTGGGAAGAACTTTTTTTAATGTAAAAGATGCCTGTCAAACTGAATTATTTTGGGCATTTTTCATAGATGCAACTTAACAAAAAGGGAATAAGTGATATGTCTTTCAATGGGGTGAAAATCACAAAGTGCCTAAAGATAGTGGGTGGAAAATGAGTGAACAAGCATGGAAGTTAAACCTTCAGGGAGTCCCAAGAACTTTTCCACAAGACCACTTGAAAAGACTCAGAGGAAAACTTGACTCACTGGAAGCAAAATTGAAACACATTAGGAGAGTATGAAGATATTTTCAAAGCTGGAATGCCTGGATATAGAATCATCAGGTAACACAAATCTTCAAAGCTGTAAACCGACCTAATACCCACCCAGAGAGTTGAAAATGAACTGATGTCTCTGTAAGACTGCTGACTCGTCTTTGGTCATTTCAGTGTACTACTTGAGCTTGATAAACAGTGAAGAGATTAGATATACTGGAAGGTGGTCACCGTGACAATTTTAGGTACATTTTGCTCTCTTAGAAGGTTAAAAATGAGTCCTGATGTCTAATACTTTGTCATTTCAGTTAATTTGTTGTTACTTGTGTGCAAATTGATGGGCTCACACCTTCCTGCTATATAGCAACACCACCAGCTCACTGGAGTTGTTTCAGAAACTAATTTCGCCTTGTGTCAGCATCCAGCTGATCATTACATATTTATTTCTAACGCATCTGGACAGTTTGACTGATTAAAAAAAAAAAAAAAACTTGAAACCACAGACAAAAGTCAGTCCAAATATTTGATGAACTGGCTCCACTGGCATAAACGCAACCATCTTCTTTTAATTTAACTAAATGATTTACATACAGCTGCGTCATCATTTCCTGCGCACTCCACTTTTCCTTTTTTTTTTTCTTCTCTCCCTTCACTCACAGCATACAGTTATACGGGGGAGACTGTTTTTTCCTCAGAAAAAGTCCGTTTTCAGGCTGCACAGACAGAAAAAGCCAGGGGCTCCGTGGAGGAATGGATCACTGACCAAACGCCACAGCGACACAGACACAGAGAAGCGGGTAGGCTTTGTGTTTCACCTCCTCAGATGCGATGTGAAGGGAAATCTAACGGAATTACCTTTTTTTTTTTTTTTTGGGAGAAAGTTGTGCTGTAAGTTAGAACAAATTTATATGGATGTGTTCGTGATAAAAAATAACTTTTTTTGTATTGTCTGTAATTGACATGAGCGGGTTTCAAGTCGGTGTCAGATACAGACTTTGATCAATGTTTTGCAGACTGTGTTTTGCACAGTTTGATGTTGTTAGAGCCAAAAAAGCTCCCCGGAGCCTGTCGGCTGCATTTGCATGGGTCCGCCTACAGGGGGCGCCTCATGGCTTTGGATGTGGTCTGTTCAGATTTCAACACCCCTTTGCTCCCATCTGTATTTACTCTGAACTTCAGGCCACATCAAACCTCTGATCATTTTTTTGTGTCTCTGAAATAGCTTGGTGAATTTACCTTATTTAAACCCCTACTCCCCCCCCCCCCCACACACACACAGACACACACGACACAAAACACACACACACACACACACGACACAAAACACACACACAAAAACAGTCATATTTCTGTCATTTCAGAGGACTTTGAAGGGCTCCTTTTGTTCTGACTGCAACTTTAAGCCACTGCTTTATTTCAAAACACAACATCGGGAGACAAAATTTGTTCTGGAAAGGAATTCAAATCCCTCTGCCGAGTCCTGGTATAAACACACTTGTTATGGTGGAGTATTTGTTTTTAAGGTTTGTGAGTTAATAGCTGACTGTTGTTGAGTCTGCTGGAGGCTGAGACGCTACCCTGACACCAGATATAGAAATATCCTTGTCCTCCTCTGTTTTTTTCGGCCTTGTGGTGAGCCTGGAGCTCCAGCTATTCCGGGGATTTTTTATTTTATTTTAACAAACAGTAACACATCATTACTTGAGAAAAGACAAGCCTTTCCCAATCAGACAAACATTCGACTTTGAGTTTTTCTGTCATCAATCAAACGTGGGCCTGGTCAATCACACGGTTTTGTGTTACCCTGATTTGGTTGCTTTACTTTCCCCCCAGAGTGTTTTCCATCAAACTCCGATTTGATGATTGGCAAGGCTGCTGAGCATATTTTCACGAAAAGATTCAGGCTTTAAAAGCACCCATTCATCCTTGTCAACACATGCACATAAAGCGGTGAGCGTGATTTCAAACGAGCCTCCGCGCTAAGCGATGACAGACGAATGGAAGGATGAACTTGAATGTGGAGTTTTCTTCCCATGGGCCCTAAAGTGCAAAAGGAGGGTCTTTGAATAATTACATTATTGTATCCGACCAGCCACAGAGTAGCTTCATTAACATTTTTCATGTGGCCACTTTGATCAGATGTAAAAGGGAACAGGTGGCTGCCTTCTAGCTGCATCTGTAGCTCCATATGAAACAGTTACAGCTGATTTCGGGCAGACAAAAAAAAAAGGTTTAATAGAGGGAGAGGAGGTCTTTACTTGACAATGTCCGTCATCTCCATTGGTTGCTGTATCATAGAGCGTTGACAAGACGTGTCAACTCAGTCCTGGTGTTTAAGAGCTACCTGAGCTCTGATGTTTGAAATCTGATGTTCTCTTTGAAGCTGCGGGATGTCCAGAGGCTAAGTGTGGAGGGCCGAATGTTGCAAGGAGTTTCTCCAAATGTCTAAGAATACGTGATGTGTGTTAATAGGAGATGATAGGTACTTACATCGGTGTGAAAAAGGGTTTTTTCCCTTCCCTTAAAACATGGCTTAACTGAGGTTTATCACACCCAAGTTCAATTTCTCTAGCCACACCCAGGCCTGATTAACACCACGCCAGTTCTCACTCAAGAAATCCACCTGCCTGAAAGCAGAGTAGACCAAAAGAACCTTTAAAGCTAGACATCATGCCAGAATCCAAAGTAATTCAGGAAAAAATGAGAAGGAAAGTAACTGAGATCTATCGCTCTGGAAAAAGTCATAAAGCCATTTGTAAGGTTTTGGAAATCCAGCAAACCACAGTGAGAGCCATTATCCAGAAATGATGTAAACACAGAGCAGTGGTGAACCTTCCCAGGAGCGGCCAGCTGACCAAAATTACCCCGAGAGCGCAGCGACGACTCATCCAAGAGGTCGCAAAAGACCCCACAGCAACATCCAAACAACTGCAGACTGGGCAAAAAATGGCCTGAATTACAGAGATCCAAGCCTGGAACCCCACTGCTGAGCAAAATGAACATTAAGGCTCGTCTCACTTGAAGCTGGAAAACATCTGGATGATCTTTAACACTTTTGGGAAAATATTCCGTGGACTGATGAGCCAAAAGTTGAATGTTTTGGAAGGTGTTTGTCTCATTATATTTGGCTGAAAAGTAGCACCGCATTTCAGAAAAAGCTCATCATGCCAGCAATAAAACATAGCGGCGGTAGTGTGATGGTCAGTTCTGCTGCTTCAGTACCCGGAAGAAAAAACCCTAAACAGGACCAATATTGTCGACCAAAAAAATCCAGGAGGAGAATGTGCTGTCTTCTTCACCGAGCTGAAGCCAAATTGGGTTCTGTAGCAGGACCATGTTACAAAAAACAACAGGAAGTCCACCTCCAAGTGGCTGAAGAGACCCAAAACGAAGACTTTGGTGTGGCCTAGTCAAAGTCCTGGCCTGAATCCTCTTCAGAGACTGTGCCGTGACCTTAACAAGCCCCTAATGTGACTAAATTACAACAACTCTGCAAATATGCTACATAATGAATGATATAATGATAATAATCTTAATTCAAGGAGTTCATTTTTGTTGAATTATCTTTCACTACTAGTATTGAACTTTGATCTCAGGTGTTTTAAGAGTTACAAACATGTAAAAAATAAAATAAAATCAGGAAGTGGGAAAAGCCTTTTTCACATCAGCGTATTTTCTAATGAACACAGGTGTGTCACATCATGTAATCATTTCCTCCCTGCATCAGAGCTTTTACAGTCACTTCTGAGGGACAGAGTTGCTATTAATTCCTGTGAATTGGGAGGAGGGGCTGGCTTCATTCTTCATGGCTGGAAGAATTTCATGTATGTGTGTGAGTCCACGCTTTGATGCCCCCGCGTCATGCAAGAAGAGGATGTGGCTTTTAATGGGGAGTCCAGATGGTTTGTCGATCGCTGGAACAATGAATTCCACAAGTTTAAGCCCGGGTTACATTCTGGTAAAACATCCCGCAAATAAAACCGGTCAGCTCCCCTTGTCTTTTGTGCTCGCACAGAGTGGATCCGAAGTGCTCTCAGAAACGGCAGTCTTTTTTTTTTTTTTTTTTACGAGACCTTGAAAGGTTTTGACGGAGTCTCTGAGAAAAGCTTCCTGCTGACTCGATGTTACGAACCCAGATCGGGGATGTGTGTGTTTTGTGACTTCCTCCCTCTTCCCAGGCCTGTGGGGTGATAAGGCATCCTCCACCCCAAGAGACTCAAAGGAGCTGTTTTTAATGGATGAGCGGTGCTTAAGGGCTTCATGTAAAAATGTTACATTAACCAGCACAGAAGCAAGTCAAATGGATTGGGGGCAGTGGATTAAAGCATATTGAGGCCTTGTCCATGAGCTGCTGTGTAACGTTTCTGATGGGATGGTATCAGCAGTTTAGAACTCCTCCAGTCTCTCCTTCAGACAGAGGGGAATGAGTGAGATGCCAGATCTGATTTACAAGGATCAATAATTAGTGGATGGTTACAGAAAACGTAGAATCGGGACAATGCTGGTGCTTGTCTGCATGCAGCAGACACCACTTGTTTGTATCTTCGTGTTTTAATGCGCTCAGACCACTCCACCACCGAGAGGCATATTGGAGATTTTTGCAATTCATGTGGCCCTCTTATGTTGCCGTCTGTTTTTTTTTTTTTTAGGGAAATGATTGAGTGTTCACAGTTCACAAAATGTCTTAAACTTTTTGAAAAAATCTGTTATTCGGTAAATGCTCCCGGACCACAGCAGAGAAGTAATCCCACACATGGAAACATTTCATCTGAAATGTGTCTTACTTAATATTTAAGAAAGATTGTTCACCTTGGACTCCTGGCTCAACTCCAAGTAATTTATGGAAAAAAAACAGAAATGCTGAAGGTAACCCATCATTTCTGAATAGCTGATGTTTTTGGGTTACTAATCCCATTCAGTTTTTTACGGTTTTATCACTTAAAGGCAGCATCTTACTGCCATATCTGGTTGTGAATTCTGTGCCGGGCATCACCTGTGGGTACCTGTTAGGTGTGTGCGTGACAACAACCACCTTCTTTGTTCTTTAAACTCAGCAGCTGCCACATTTATCTACATAGACATGCCTATGCATTGACATTAAGCATGAGTTAAGGTTTATCTTTGTCATGTTTACACTGCATCTTATTTTAATGTTAAGGTTCTACATTTAAACATTTACCTCTCTGGTGCTTTTCTGTGTGATTTCAGGCAGAAATCCTTGTAAAACTGAACATCACTTTAACTCATTTTGTGCTCATTGTGCAGTGGCTTGGCCCCATCGCTTTAATATCCTACCCCTATCATCAAGGAGCATTTTACAAGTTGATGACGGGATAGTCTGCCCAGTATCACAGGCCTTTTAGAGATATTATATTGGGTGTTATTCAAATTAAAATTGTGAGATCAGATAATAAATAAGAATATAAAAACAATCTTTTTCTATAGCAGGTTAAGGAGTTACTTGGCTTAATAAATAAAGAGCAAATATTATGCAAATAGAATCTTTACAGATGCATCTCGTAAATCTCGGTAGCTGCATGGAATTTGTGATGGTTGCTATCTCCACTTTGACCACTAGATATCAGTAGTTGTGACAAACCACTTTAATGTCTTAATGGGTTGTAAAAGTCCAAAATGTTGACCTAATAAGTATCAGTGAGGAGGTAGCTTGTTTTGAAGTGCTGTGATGGTGTATTATTTCTATTGTTATTATTTATGTCCTCTAGCTGAATCAGTAGATTCGTATTTTTGTTCCTCCTTGTCCTCCATTTTGCTCCTGCTTTAGATCCTGAACGTCTTCCTCTTCAACTCATCTGGGTTTGTGAGTCTTACTCCTGGCAGTGTTCAGGCTTTTGAAAGCTCAATCAGTTGTTCCCACACGTTACAAAAACGTTCTCCTTGGCACAGTTGCTCCTCTTAACAGATGTTTGAAAAAGCTGCCCAAACTAAAAGAGGCAGCACAGCAAATCTAGGTAGGAAAATTGTTTTAGACCGAGGAAAATCTCAAAAAGGATAAAAAAGGAGGACAGACTGCCTTCATAATTGCTGCAGCAGAAGAGTATAACCTTACTACAGTAATAATGCTCAGTTTGGACACTGTTCTTTCAAGGATGTTCCTCAAGAAGGATGCTGAGTGTCTCTCCTCTAAGATTTAATTGGATGCTCTGAAAAAGGAAAGATTAAGAGAAAAAAAAAGAGAAAATATTCCATCTTTTCAGCGGCTGTGTTTGATCTTCAGTGCTGCTCATAAAAAAGGACCCTGAAGGGCCGGTGAGTACACTGTGGACACATAAAGAAACGATCTGTCCACATTCTGAGTGCATGATCTGATTATATCTGAGATGTAACCAGATCATTTTGTCATGTCCTTTTTTTTTTGTTGTCCGTCAGAAGCTATTGGACACGTTTGGTCATTGTTTCACTCACATATCTGACTCATGAAAGACATCTTTGTGCGTGTGAGGGGTGTTCTGCCC